GGGTAATTTTGTTGTTTTTGTGTCGAAGGGATTTGGGGGGGGGAAGGCTGCATCTGGTGTAAAGCCATATAATAAAATAGGGTGCGCTTTATTAATGGGAGATTTTAGGTTTACCTCTATAGAATTCAGATGTTTTCTCCAATTCTTCAAGCTTTTTTACCAAACCATCTGTAGAAAAAAATATATACATTTCATAATGTATTTATTTATAAAATATTTTACCAGGAAAGATAATGATGACGATATTAAAAATTGTTATGCATATATAATACAACACCTAATTCCAGTGACTTGAATTTGACTTTCTCCTTTGTCTGGAAAGAGTAAAATCCCAATCATTCATACAGAAGAAAAGGTTCTTTACAGTAAGAACAATAAAGATGTGGCATTCTCTGTCTAAAGAAGGTTGCCTTATCAGATTCTATAGATTTAAAAAAAAAACTTGGGTTTGTTTTTTGCATAAACAGAATATTCAAGGATATAATCGATATGTATGTAAACAGGTTGCTGATGCAATAAGAAATCTGCCATTATGGAGTCAACAAGGATTCTTTTTCTATTTGTGGCATAATTGGAAATGGCTAGAATTGGGTTTTTTGTCTTCTTTTGAATCAACAGCATAAAAGAATGGGCTTCAGGTTTGAACTTGATGGGACTTTAGTCTTATTTTCAACCTAGACTACTATATAAAAGTAATTAAGAACATGCAGTACATATGCATACTTATTCAAATAATAAAACTATTCTAAAAGTGCAATACACTTTTTTTACAGTCACTTATGGCTCCTCTCTTAGGTTTCCGCTGACTGTGGTTCAGGATACATTCCCATCTCCATCAGGCTCCATTGTGAGGGACTAGCTTGTAATGGGAACATTGCCAAGTAAAAGTGAAATGTCCCTAGAAGTTCACTGATTGGTCTTCTAATTTCAATTTCTTTGCCACTCTGTTTTGGGCTACCAATGGGAAATCCCAGTGACTATACGTATGTAATAGAAAACTAAATATATCCACCAATATTAAATTTAAGAAGGTTCTAGGCCACCCCTTGTACATTATGGAAAGCAAATTTCCTTCCACAATGTATAAGGGGCGGGCTGGAAATCACTTACATCCAATTTCGGTGGGAATTTGAGCACTTTCAAACAGAAACATACGATGCTGGTATGGGAGCACACTAACTGAGGATCGTTTTGGACATTCCTTTCTTATTCCCCATACTTTGTATTTTTTACTCTTATAGGCTTTTTATTTTTCTGTCTGAGATTCTTGTGTTTACTGATGGTGTTATGTAGTCACTTGTTTAGTCCGTGGAACCTAAGACAATTTTTTTTTTTTTTTTTTTTATTTACTTACTTTTCTCTTTCTTTTTTTTTTTCCAACTCCAACATCTGGCTGTTATATCAAAGCTTTTTTTGTAATTTTTTTAGTTTATAATTTTTTATTGTAGCATAGCAATGTGTACATTTGCCATCTCGCTTCATTTGGCTACATTTAAAACAGTTGCGTACAATACTGCAGGTATAGAGCATATATTCTGCGGTATACAAATAGTTATAGAAGTAATTACTAGCGTTCGTTTGCATAGTGGTAATAGGTAAAAAAATAATAATAATTTGTTTGCTTATTGGGAGTAGCTTCCTTTGGGGGGTATGAGCGAATTGGGAGATACATTTCTATGAGATATGCAAGTAGCATGTTGGTTGATGGGCCCGCTTTAAAGTAATGGTATAAATGAGATCAAAACAAAGCAATAACTTAAAACAATAGTAAAACAATGGCGTAAGGGACATAAGCCTCTAACATGCATTCCTATTTATAATGCGAGTTCAGGTTGTCCGCTTAGGTGTGCCTGTAGCACGGCTCGTTCTTGGGAAGAATGGTTGGATTTTCTTAACGTCCCAAAGCCTGGAGGTAGTCGCTGGTGTCAGGAGGCAACTACAAGCAATACCTCTGCAGCACTGAGATTTGCCCAAGGCCTGAAGAAACTTCACAGAGTCACTGGTTTGTGTGATGTGCACTCTTTTGCCTTCTTGACAGCGGTACTGTATCCCCTTTGTTCTCAGGGGCTGAGTGACTTCCTTCATGGAGCGATTGAAAGCGGATAAGTAAGTCCCATGGGACTTCTGCTGGGGCTCTTTCAGGTTTAGGTATACAGAAATGAAACTCAAGTAAAACAGACTATGCTTTAGCTGATAATAGAAGGGAGGCCAGTAATCTGCGTAGGTGTCTTGCACTTCCTCTGGTATTCCTCTAATCCTGAGGTTTAGTTGGCGTCTAGAATGTTCCAGTGCCACAACTTTATTTTCCAGTGTAGTGCTAGTCTGTTTCAGTCAGGTAATTTCTCTCAGCAGGGCTTCAATTTTGTCAGGTGAAGCCACTTCATTTATCTCCACCACCTGTCGTGGTGAAGCCACTTCATTTATCTCCACGGGCTGTCATGGCGCCCAAATCTTCCCTGATTAAGGCCACGTCAGCTGCAGATTGGGCTTTGAGCTTTGCTGTTGCTTCGGCGGCCTAACCCGCACTATCATCCGAGGAGTAGTCAGAAGCTTCCCACGTGGGCGCCATCTTGGTAGGCCGCGGTGTTGCTCTGAACAAATCGCCAATATTTTGGGAAGTCAGCGTTGTCTCACTGCGGAGTCGTTTGGATTTGCGTCCCATTGTGTTCGGACCAGTATAGGAGGCAATTAGGGCTCCCTAATCCGCCTGTTTTGAGCGTTTTTAGCTGAATTTCTCCTGGAGCTCAGTGCTCGCTCTGCCCCACTTAATTTTTTTAAAAATTTTTTTTTAACTTTAGGATAAGGTTTATTTTCTAAATGCATTTTAGAGGCATCTTTTATTTTACAAATTTTTGCTTTTTTTTTTTTTTTTTACAATTTTCAGTAGATTTATAAATTAAAGACCACCATCTGGTTAACTTACCATTACACAAGATGGCTCTGCTTAAGCCAAGAGCGTCTGCAGTGCCTGAGCTCATGTTTTCCACCAGTCTGTGCTTCACTTTCTTTAAAACTGTGCAAAAACATAAAGCAGTTAAGATAGACTGTCAATGATCTAGATAATGTTAGCAAAAGGTTATAAAGTACATCAGAAGCTGTGTTGCAGACTAAACAAAGAGTGTCTTACCAATATCCAATGACTTCCCCTGCTTCGGATCTGCTTGCAATTTATTATAATGAATGGTCACTTCTCCCTAACAGAATTAAAATATAGTTAACAATAATTCACATTGCTACATTAACTTCAGCTTGGACAATCCATTCAATCACACTGGTCAAAAGCTGTGACACTAGAGTATATCAACCCATGTATTAGGGCTGCTAAATATTTTTTAAGTCTCCTTCAAGTACTATTTTATTTTTTTCTCAAAGTACCAAATAAAGCCTGACCGTTGCAGCTCAAGTCTCTGCTATATAGGAGTTAAATTACTTTGTTTATGCAGCCTTAGCGGAGACTCTCACAGGCTCACTACACATTTCCTTAAACAAAATAATTGTTTTAGCGTCCCCTAATGCACACTGTGTTTAATTTAGAATTTCTTATCTCCTCTGCTAATAGCCTGCTAGTGCATGCAACAGCCTTTTGTGTGTGATTAAAGTTCAATGAATACAAGAAGATGCGTCTGCTCTCGTTCAGTAGCAAGCTCTGCCCCCATGTTAATATTTTGCATATACGGTAATGTCCAGTTGATATAGGACACGCAGGAAGAACTTTTGTACAAACACTGAAAACTATGTCCACCAATACGATAGGATTATAATTTTGGGCTTAGTTTTTTTTTTTTTTTTTTATATAGCATGTAAACAGGATACCAAGAAGCCGTTTTGCAATCTTTTTGATGTGCTAAATTAATCAACAGGTTTTAAAATTATTATAAAAATAGAGATTTTAATATGACATTTTATTAACTAACCAATCACTTGGTGCATCAAAATACTAGAAGCACTTCCTCTGACAAGGAATTTAAAACTAGCAGTATTTAAATTTGTGTCAAGTACTAGGCTCAGAACAGCCTTTGAAAAAGTCTATTTGAGAAACAAAACATGTCAGTCATAAAATCTTGTTATAATCACATTGACCTCATCTGTGCAGAACATTTTGCAACAACTAGACATTTATTTTGAACATTTTAAAATTATCAAAATTTACATCCACACCGGAAGGCAAGGGCATAGAGAACTTGGTAATAACTTTACATTTGCAGATAGAGGTTATTCCTCAAAGCGAGTTTGTAAGTTAACATTTGTATTTATTAAAACTTAAATCATACATTTTTTTTTTTACCCAATGGGGCATGCACATTTTAACACAGAACTAGGAAATTAATATATACTTGTTTTTATTCTTGATCTTGATTACCAAAACATTTTGTGTTTGCTAGTCTGATGAGGCCTGAACCTAGTTCACCTTGTCAATTCTTTGTACACTCTTTGCATTCCTCTATTTCCCCTCTGATTTGTGACTGACCTCTGACCCCTCCCTTCTCTTATTGATATGTTTGTTTTTATTTGAATATCCATCTCTTCATCTCTGTACCTAGATACATTTCCCCCTCCCTTACCTTTATTGCAAGCTCTTTGACCCTCACATCTCTTTATTCAATAGCCTGATTCCCCAACTTTGCAAGCCTATTCCTTCAGGGAGCAAGTCTGATGCCCACCCATCCCACCCCATTGCCATTATTACATTTATAGATTGTCTGTCACACCTACATTTTAGTTAGGTTTAAAAAAACAACAACAAAAAAACATGCCTCTTATTAGTACACTCCTGCACTTTCCCATAAAACACCTTCACCTGCTCTTGATATGCCAATTATCTCCAATTTTTATTTTTCACAGTTTAGCAATGATCTGTTTTCTCCTCCTCTTTATTTCCTAGTCTCCCTCAGTATAAAAATATCTCCTTACACCCACTTCATTCATTCCCCCATCCACATATGCCCTTCTCTGCTACACTCCCCCCTTCTCTCATCTCATGCCTTACACTCATTTTTCTACTCTCTCACTCCAACCCACAATCGATCTCATCCTAGACCCCATGCATACAAAACCCATTCACACCTCCTGTCACTTTCTCTCCTCCTACTTCTAGCAGCTGGTGATGTCTTTCCCAATCCAGGGCCCTTCACCTTCTCTACACACACTAAGACAACCAGAAACCCCACAAACCTCATCACAATACCCTGCCCTTTACCTTCACTTACCAAAATTAATTGTGCACTCTGGAATGCCCGCTCCATCTGCAGTAATTTAAAATCAACAACCATACACGACTTTTTTTTTATCTCAAACTCACTCACACTGCTTGCACTTGGCTGTCCCCCTTTGATAGCGCTACTCCTGCCTCTTTATGTTTTGGTGGGCTACAATTCTCTCACACTCCCAGACTCAACTGTAAAGGAGGCGGCGTAGGCATCCTTCTCTCCCCTCAATGTACCTTTCAACCAATCATAACTCCCCCTGCCCTATCCTTTTCTTCTTTTGAAGTTCACACTGTCCGCCTATTTAAAAAAAAAGAAAAAATCAGCGCACTACTGCCACACAAATAAATAAAAAAGGCAGCACCTCTAAGAGGGGAATCCCCTATAATCCCCTAAACATAAAGGTAAAATGGATAAGAAAGAAGAGATGAGAGTGCGCCTAAAATATATGGTAAAACATATACACAATATATAATAAAAGAAGCAAATATAAAATGATGATAATATAAAATGGTAATAAAACAATAGTCCAAACACTTATCAAGAGTCCGTAATGGTAAGATATATTGGGAAAACGGGAAATCCTGAGACGTCAAAATGGAGTGGAATCTTCACAGTGATGTACTCAAATCCAATAAGGAATATATGGAAGGGAAACAGAAACAGGAACTCCAATGGTACAGTATGTCAGCGAAGATAAAATTCTAAATTAATAAAATAGCCGTACTCACACTCTCCAGAGCTAGATCCCAGCTCTGGTATTCAGCGCGTGAAGTGGAACAATCCCCACTCAAGGATATGTAAAGTGGTGTTTGATTGGAGAGTTTCTGGCCCAGATTCCATGTTCGAATAAATGTTATTCAACCCAAAATGATAGAAAAAAAATATAGTGCTCTCTGTATACAATAAAGCAAAGGAATGTAAAGTAAGTTACTTACATTCTATAGAGCAGATCTATACTGCTCGGTATAAACGCCTAGGTGGTATAATCCCCACCTATGGATTCTTTGAGTTCCTTGTGGATGTAGATCAGGTGCACAGATAAAATAAAATAATAAATAGACGGTATAAAAAGAATATAAGAAAAAATGGCTATAAAATGTTCTATGCCAAATTAAATTCTTTATTATAAAGTAATTAAAATAATATCTATACGCGTTTCGCCTCAAAAGGCTTCATCAAGTAGATAATAAAAGGGCCCCTTTTATTATCTACTTGATGAAGCCTTTTGAGGCGAAACGCGTATAGATATTATCTACTTGATGAAGCCTTTTGAGGCGAAACGCGTATAGATATTATTTTAATTACTTTATAATAAAGAATTTAATTTGGCATAGAACATTTTATAGCCATTTTTTCTTATATTCTTTTTATACCGTCTATTTATTATTTTATTTTATCTGTGCACCTGATCTACATCCACAAGGAACTCAAAGAATCCATAGGTGGGGATTATACCACCTAGGCGTTTATACCGAGCAGTATAGATCTGCTCTATAGAATGTAAGTAACTTACTTTACATTCCTTTGCTTTATTGTATACAGAGAGCACTATATTTTTTTTCTATCATTTTGGGTTGAATAACATTTATTCGAACATGGAATCTGGGCCAGAAACTCTCCAATCAAACACCACTTTACATATCCTTGAGTGGGGATTGTTCCACTTCACGCGCTGAATACCAGAGCTGGGATCTAGCTCTGGAGAGTGTGAGTACGGCTATTTTATTAATTTAGAATTTTATCTTCGCTGACATACTGTACCATTGGAGTTCCTGTTTCTGTTTCCCTTCCATATATTCCTTATTGGATTCGAGTACATCACTGTGAAGATTCCACTCCATTTTGACGTCTCAGGATTTCCCGTTTTCCCAATATATCTTACCATTACGGACTCTTGATAAGTGTTTGGACTATTGTTTTATTACCATTTTATATTGATTATCATCATTTTATATTTGCTTATTTTATTATATATTGTGTATATGTTTTACCATATATTTTAGGCGCACTCTCATCTCTTCTTTCTTGTCTGCCTATTTAAACCCACTCCTTTAAGAATTGCTATCATCTACCGCCCCCCCCTGGTTATCCTAGACTATTCATTGAGCACTTTTCTTCCTGGCTTCCCCACTTCCTCTCATCTAGCACTCCTTCCCTTATACTTGGGGATTTCAATATCCCAATCAATAACCCCAATTGCACTGATGCCTCTCGTCTGCTCTCTGTAACCTCCTCCTTTGGCCTTACGCAATGGTCCAATCTAGCAACCCATACAGCGGGAAACACTCTTGATCTTGCCTTCACCAACCTCTGTACTGCCTCTAATCTCTCCAATATTCCTTTTCCTCTATCTGACCACCATCTGCTGACTTTTGACATCGGCCTACCCAAGACCCAATTGACACTACTGTCTGAACATCAAGCTCACAGAAACCTCCAGTGTCTTCACCTAGAGCATTTCTCCACTAATCTCCAAACTCTCCTTCTACCTATCTCAAACCTCACCTGTCCTAGTTCTGCAACCTCCTCTCAACTAGACATCATGGCACCTTGTACATTTAAACACCGCAGGCCCCCCCAACAACAACCCTGGCACACCAAGCTCACTTGATACCTCCAAAAATGCTCCAGAACTGCTGAACGCTGTTGGAGAAAGTCTCACTGTGCATCTGACTTTCTCCACTATAAATTTATGCTGAGCTCATACAGCTTGGCTCTTTCATCTACAAAAGTTAATTACTTCAATACCCTCATAACCACACTCTCCTGCGAACCCAAACGACTATTTCACACATTTAACTCTCTTCTTCACCCTGCTGTTCCTCCTCCACCAACTAACTTGACTGCCTCAGACTTTGCAACTCACTTCACTGCCAAGATCTCTACAATCAGAGAAGAGATCTCTCATCTTTCTTCTTCCCCTTACATCACTCCCTCTGCTGTTCTATGTTCATTCGCACTCGCTACATTGGAAGAGGTTTCTGCTCTGCTCTAGTCCTCCCGCCCCACCACCTGCTCCCTAGATCCAATTCCCTCACATCTCATCTGTACTCTGTCTTCTTCTCTTTCTCCACCTCTCACTAAAATTCTCAATCTCTCTCTCTCCTCTCGTATATTTCCATTGCTCTTCAAACATGCAACTGTAACCCCAATTCTAAAGAAGCCCAATCTTGACCCTAACTCCCCACCCAACTATCGTCCTTTCTTGCTACTGCCTTTTGCATCCAAGATCCTTGAAAAAAAATTGTGTATGCGAGATTGACAGGCTTCCTCGAGTCCAACTCTCTGCTAGACCCGCTTCAGTCTGGTTTCCGCGCTAAGCACTCTGTGGAAACGGCACTGACCAAAGTATCCAATGATCTACTCGCTGCAAAATCTCGTGGTCACTATACTATCTTAATTCTCCTTAACCTGTCTGCGGCTTTTGACACTGTTGATCATCAACAGCTTCTGCTCATCCTCCGCAATATCGGTCTACAAGATATTGCTCTCTCCTGGTGCTCCTCCTACCTCTCCCAGCGCTCTGGTTCTCCAAGGTTCAGTCCTTGGTCCCCTACTGTTCTCCATTTATACTGCCTCCCTTGGTAAATTCATTAGCTCCTTTAGCTTCCAATATAATTTCTATGCAGATGACACGCAAATCTACCTGTCCTCTCCTGATCTCTCCCCGTCCCTCTTGACTAGTGTCTCTGACTGCCTCTCTGCTGTTTCTAACTGGATGGCTGCCCACTTCCTTAAACTAAACTTGACCAAAACTGAAATTCTGGTCTTTCCTCCCTCAAGTGTTGTTACTCCTGTGTCTGTCTCCCTCCAAGTCAACGGTGCTACCATCAGCTCCACCACGCAGGCTCGCTGCCTAGGTGTTCTCTTTGACTCAGACCTCTCCTTCAAGCCTCATGTTCAATCTATCGCCAAATCCTGTCATTTTCATCTCAAAAACATTCCGCGCATCCGCCCCTACTTAACGCCAGATGCAACTAAGGTGTTGGTTCATTCCACTGTCCTTTCTCGCTACTGTGATCCGCTTCTCAGTGGTCTTACGTGCTCCCAACTTGCGCCGTTACAGTCCATTATGAATGCGGCGGCGAGGCTCATCTTCCTGTCCGCCCGCACCTCCCATGCCTCACCCTTCTGTCAGTCCCTACATTGGCTTCCTATAAAACATAGAGCTCAATTTAAAATTCTGGTTCTTGCTTTCAAATCTCTACATAATGCTGCTCCCACCTATCTATCCTCCCTTATACACAAGTATGTCCCGTCTAGGCCCTTACGATCTGAAGACTTACGTCTATCTTCAGTCCGTACTCCCACCTCTGATGCTCGCCTTCAAGATTTCTCAAAGGCTGCACCGTTCCTGTGGAACTCGCTTCCCTCCTCCGTTAGATGCTCACCCAGTCTCCACTCGTTCAAAAAATCGTTAAAAAACCCACTTCTTCATAAAAGCGTATCAATTAAACTGTTAATAGCTCCTGACTGATTCCTCTTCTGCAACTGTCACTAGTCTAATACTATCCTTACCTTTTTGTGTAATTTTACCGCACTCCCTCTAGCATGTAAGCTCATTGAGCAGGACCTTAAACCCCTTTGTTCCTGTGTGTCCAACTTGTCTGGTTACAACTACATGTCTGTTCGTCCACCCATTGTACAGCGCTGCGGAATTTGACGGCGCTCTATAAATATAATATTATTATTATTATTAATGATATTAATAATAATAATAATAATAATAATAATAATAATAATAATAATAATAATACACTAGTCCTTTCGTAACTTGTTACTCATTACCAACAATAATCAAAGGCTGAATACAACAAGGGTTTACAAACAAAAAACAAAAACCAACGACTTCCAGAGCTTTTTATAAAGGAAAATAGAACTTACATTATCTGGAGTATATTTATTGTGCAAGATAAAACTATGCAAAGTTATGAAAGAGCACTCAAATTCCATGATATATAAGCAATACAATACAACACTATTAAGCAGAAATCACCTTTACATTCTGTATCATCTTAGCCACTTCCACTTTGGTCTTGCCTTTAACAGATCTCCCATTCACTCCAGTGATTTCATCGCCTGCAGCAATTGTGCCATCCTGTGCAGCAGGGGTATTATCAAATACCTATTTGTTACAAAAAAATAAAATACTAATTTACAGGATGGAAATATGATGTTATCTCTTAAATATGGTATGCAATTTTGGGCACCTATTTTAAAGAAGGATAAGTGCACATGCGGCTACAAAACTAATAAGGGAAATGGAAGACTTTAGTTGTGAAGAAAAACTATTTACTTTAGGAATAAAGCTATTTCAGGACAGACATGATAAGATTCTACAAATAAATACTGGGCCAGTACAAACAGCTCTCTGGCAACCTCTTCTTTAAACGGACTGTACCAAAAGAAACTCAGTCTTCAAAAGAGGAGATTTTACCTACAGCAGACAAAGGTTTGTTTACAGGAAGAAGAATAAAAATGTGGAATCAACTGCCGAAAGAAGTCATTTTATCAGATTCTATAGATATAAATAGGTTTTAAAAAGGTCTGGAGGTAAAAACAGTTTAAAGAGTCAAAGGAAACAAAAATGGCATTATGGTGAAAAGAAGGAATTATTTTCTCTTTTTGTAGAAAAAGTGACCCAGCAGCCCTGTTATTACATGTCACAGCTTGCCTTACCCACCACTACAAGAAAGCATTAGAGTACAGATATAAAATGCTGCTAAAAGCGTGGTTCCCCTCATCATTAAGCAACGTAGGGCTCCATCAATGGAATCACAGGCGAAGGCAAACCTACATGTAAGATGTAAAGTATGTTGTGCTGTTCTTCCCCTCTTTTTCATGGTTATTTGTCTTTTTATTACTGTAAAGTTCTGATGTTTTTCCTAGAGTGGGTTAACTGCTACACACCAGTATTCTGGAAGGCCTAATTTATTGTAGGCCATTAAAAAAATAAATAAATAAAAAGCGCAATCATATAGTGCATTACTAGATTGCATTTGTTTTTAGCAGTTACATTGTTACATGATTGTTCTCATGTTATAGTTGTTAATTAACAATTTCCTCAAAACAACTTTCCTTTTGTTACTGTGTTGAATATATTAATTTTAAAATTTAATTAACCCATTAACTCTAAAAATAAATATGTAAAAAAAGGAGCACTACACACCTGAACGATATAAAGGCATGGACAGTGCTGGGCACCACCTCCTATGCTAATTCCAATAACATTCTGAAGGTCCTTCTTCAAGGTCACTGTCCCAGGAACTGTTGGGATCCCACTGGAAGAAGCAGAAACTACATCAATAAAATGTACACGGGGCAAACAAATGAAATCCGCTGTTGTGTTTAGCTAACAAAAAAAGTGTGAATAGGTGTAGTGACTTGTTTAGCAAATCCAAGACCTGGGGAAATCGAAGAAACAAACAGAAATATTGCAATGACATAAGCCATCTACACTTGATATGCATTTCTTACATAGACGTAAACAGCTTTTCAAGCAAACAGTTTCTGGGCTCCCTGTTCCCCTGATCTGAGTGCTGGAATGATGTAACATGTTGTCCTGTGCTTTCACACAGTATTGGAGTGGCAGCCCTGCTGTTAGTTAAGGTGTCTGCTGGGCAGTGTCGCAGCATATCACAAAAGCCACATTTCCATTTAAGAAAGGTAGGAAAACTGGAACGTGGCTGTCATTATAAGCACAAAAAAAAGGAAGATTTGTTTTTCTTTTTACTTTGTAGAAAAATGGTTAGGATTAATGGAGTTAGGCTTATGGTGAGTATTTATTGCTAGGAGTGCAACGTTCTAGTTGATTTTAAGGAAAGAATGTAGGTTTAAGGATAGTATCTATGTTTGCAGTCACGGGTAAGATTTAAGAGTGGGTTTGGAGATCATTTTTGGATTTGGTGTTAGTTGGATAAATTTAGGTTTAGGATTTTCTAGGTAGCTTAAGGTTAAACGGACACTATAGTCACCCAGACCACTTCAGCTCAATGAAGTGGCCTTGGTGTCAGGTCCCTCTAGGGTTAACCCTGCCTGATGTAAACATAGCAGAAACTGCAATGTTTACATCTGGGGTTAAGCCAGCCTCTAGTGGCTGTCTTCCGGACAGCCACTAGAGGCGCATCGGCAATGATTGAGGCATATTATATGCCTCAATCACGCAGAGCATCCACAGGAAAGCATTGAAAAAGGCTTTCCTACGGACACTTTGAATGCGCGCGCGGCATTGCCATGCATGCGGCGCCGGTGACGTCAGACAAGGATGCGGACGTCGGCGGGTAAAAGAGTGAGTAGCTGAAGAGGTTTTAACTCCTTCAGCCAGGAAAACACTATAGTGTCCCTATAAGAATACTACTTAGATTTCAGATTAGAGTTGGGTTTGTAGTTGCGGGTAACATTAACAGGTACTATTTAGGATTAAAAGGGACATGCACCACTTAAAAGAACACTATAGTGTCAGGAATACAAACATGTATCCTTATACTATAGTTGTAAAACCACTGTTTGTGTGTCCGGACCCCTTTGCCCCGGATAAAAAGGTGATTTTACTCACACCTTTGTTTTTCATATGCTACTAAGGTCTTGCTGGTCTCGTCTCCTTGGCGGAGATTATCTAATTTGATGATCTCAGCCAATCCAATGCTTTTCAATAGGAAAGCACTGGGAGGCTATTGTGCATGAAAAATGCAGAACAGCGCCAATCTGCCTTACCTTTTAGAGATGTATGGAATCAATGCATTTCTATGAGGAGCATTCAGCATCTCCATGCAGAGCGTGGAGCTGCCGAAGGTCAGTGCTGCACACTGTGCAGCACTGACCCAAGAAACACCTCTAGTGGTCGTCTGAGGAGTGGCTACTAGAGGTGTTCCTAGGAAGTATTGTAAACACTGCTTTTTCCAGTTTTTTTTTAAACCCAGCATGCACTTAAACAAGCAAACAAACCAAAATATAGCAACAAACACTCCACCACCCCGCCTCCCCCCCCAGCCCAATGTCTAAAACATTCACCTCCACTAATGACTGAAACAGGGTATCATTGTACAGCAACTGAAGATAGAAATCAGACACCAGAGCCTGCTCTGATACATCACATTGATCAAACTCCCTCTCTTCTCACCCGGTCATGAAGTTGCAAAGTAATAAGATCTTCCAATTACACATGTGGAAAGATGTCAGGCATGCTAAATGCACTTTTTAAACTTTCCTAGGGATGGGTCACTGATTAGTTAGCTCAGTGTCACCCCTGGAGAGGGTGTGAAAAGCATAAGAGAGAGGAAGAAAAAACATGTTCACCTGCTTTTTTTTTTTTAGCTCACAGAGTAATATTAACATACTGCCTTTAACATCTATGAACTTACTTTGAATGCAAAAAACAAAACAAAAAAAAACCTCCTGGTACCCTAGATGCAGGAAATCATCAAACAACAATAAAAAACACTTTAAATTTTTTTTTGCAGGTAATGTGGCTTCTAACATTGACTAGCAGATAAAACCCATATTTCCTGGTGTCTGCAGACATCACTGCAATGGATGACAGAGGATCAATTCTGCACACAAAAGGATAAACGTACACATCGCCTTGCAATGCAGTTTATAATAACAAATCTACTTGTATAACTATAAAGTTAGAATGGACAATGACATTTCAATCTACTGATTCAAACAGCACATAACTGATCAAGCCTTGCTTCTATGTACTTCATTTAGGACAAAAGCATTTTCAGTGACAAGTGTTACATTTTCGAGATACTTACAGTTTGTCTTCCTCTAGTTCATAGTCCAGATCATTAAACATCTCTGCAGTCAAAAACTCTGTATATATCACTAAGCTGTAAAGAAAACCGAATAAAGAAAAAACAAGAACAGATATCTGTCAACTAGAAATGTTTAAGTCAGTTATGATTACAGTAGCAATGTAAGGTTTGTGAGCTTAAACATGCTTTTGCTTTATGTTGATCTACTATGTGATTATTATTAATCTAAATCCAGTCAAAGTAGTAGCACTCTTAAAATAGATTTCACAAAAATAATACTTTTTAAATTTAATTTTGATTAAACAGTGTCCTCACCCACATTACTTCAGAGGGTAATATTGTGCTCACCATCATACTTTCTCTGATCTGAAAACAACACGCCACTCAATCCTATTTATACTATAAAGAAATAGGTTATTTTTCTCTTTAATTCAAAATGGACTAAAAACACAGGCAGTTACTGGACCATCTGCAATGTAAAACATTTTTTACAGTTTTTAAAGGAACACTATAGCTTTAGGAATACAAACATGCATCTCTGACGTCCTGGTGACCTGCTAGCTATTCAGGTGTTGGGAGACTACTGCATATGAATGCAACTTTAGCATCTTTGTGGGGGAGTGTAAATCTGAAAGTACGTCCTGCAAACATTGCAGGACCAAACCCAGGAAGTACTTCTACAGGCTGAGAGACAGCCACATAAACCCTGCCTTTTCTATAAAAAGGCAGTGTTTACAGTGCTAAGCCTGCAGGGATACACTATAGACACCACAATAAATACATTAAGCTGTAATGGTTTTGGTGACTATGGGGTCTCTTTAGGAAACTGCAATGTTTGCACTGCAGAATTAAATACTCCTCGATCAGCTATCATATTGACAGCATCTAAAGGCTCTTCCATAGCACTGACCAAGTAAAACTTGTTCATGTGACACGGAAGACCCCATAGGAAAACATTGATTTAATGCAAACTTGGATGCACATTTGCAGAGGAGGCCATTCCTCTGTGATGTTGCAGGAGCGAAGAAATAAGCAGTGTTAATGGAGCTTCAGTGTTGGAAAAAATTGTTTTATTATTTACACAGCAAATAGTGGGGGGTGGGAGGGGACACCTAATGCTTTAGTGTTCCTTTAAGGCTTGCCAACAATTAAGTATTCCAGAACAGAAAACATTGCAAAATTGTCTCAGAGTTACAGGTCAAGTATGCCTGCACTACAAAGCCGGTTAAAGCAGCATTCCAAGCACCAGAACGGAGTAGGTTCCTTGCATACCTTGATGCAATTAGCTCAAAGTCACCTATTCACTATAGCAGCAATAAATTGCAAAAATATCCATAGTGGTAAATTTAGGTGCAAGTATCTTGTACTGGTTTGGTCAGAGCCTTCTCTCCAACCTCGCACACAAATTTTGGGCATTTATTAATATAAATTTAATGCATTTGATTGGTTTTGGCTTTATTAATACAGTGTATTTTGTTAGCATACTCAAATCTTTAAAGGTTTTGCACAAAAATAAAAAAATCTTTTGCAGAAAATTACACCATAAGCTGGCCTCTTTAAAGGGATTCTATAGTGCCAGGAAAACAAAGCCATTTCTTTGGCACTATAGGTTCCTACAGTGCCCTCCTCCCGCGTTGCTGAAGGGGTTGAAACCCCTTCATTCACTTACCTGAATCCAGCGCTAATCTCCTTCGGTGCTGGGTCAGGCTCCTCCTCCACTATCAGCCGGCGGGGGAGACCTAATATGCATGTGTGGCACAATGCTTTCTCATGGGGATTCCAGTGACGCCGGAAGTCCTCATGCATAGCGTGAGGAAGTCCAGCATCATTTAGACGACCAAAAGTCGTCTAAGCACCTGGTAGTCCCTCTAGTGATTGTCTGGTAGAATGCCACTAGAGAAGGTGTTAACCCTAGCAGGTAATTATAATAATTACCACTGTTGCATTAAGGGACATGAGACATTTCACCCAGACCACTTCAATGAGCTGATGTGGTCTGGGTGCCTACAGTGTCCCTTTAACCACACTCCATGACTCAAGAAAAATACTTCCGTATCAAATGTATGCACACATAAGTGCAGGTGGATTGGCGCTAAAACACAGAACAGCAACTACCCCCAGTGTCTACAAATCACTCAAAGACACTACCAAATAGTGATATAACAATATAACAAAGTGGGGGGTGCAATATACAGATAAAAAGCATAAAACGTATATACTTATTGTTAAACGTTTTCTTGAGCTTAATCTGAAAAATATAAAAGTCCATACATAGTGTAATATTGTAAAATACAGGAAAGATGGAAACAAAGGTATTGGGTCACTCACAATAGATAGAGCCTAGAAAGCAGGCTCTAACTTGATCGCATGTGGAAAATCAGCTTTCCCAATCTTTACAGAATGGCCCCACGATCCTCCTATGGATACTGGTATCTGGCTCCAGATGCAGGAAAGATGGATGGTAGACCAAAGTATTGTAGTTGTTAAAAAAGTATTTACTTCCAATAAAATAATAATATAATAAAATGTAATATAAAAAGTAATATTACAAAGCTGATTTTCCACATGCGATCAAGTTATATTGTTGTATCAGTCACTAACAGTACTGAATGAGCTGAACTACAATGCAACCTGCATTAGGAGAGGACATCCAGAGAAACATAATAAAGATATCACTACCTGTTTATTCCCTCCAAATTTTCTGTTTGCGTTGCAAGGTTAAATATAAAAATATAAAAGCCTTTAACCACTTAAGGACACAGATTTCACTTAATGACACAAGCAATTTAGGCATCTTTGCTGTGTGTATGTTCATTTATTGCACCAACACATTTTATACCCTGTTTTTAAAGGACAAAAAGGGATTTGACGTGACATATACACAGAAATCCTCATTATAAAACACCAAAAATAAATATAAAAATAAATATAACATATAGAGTACATCAGTTGTCTAGGATTTCAGTTTATTTTAAATAGTTACAGATCCATTAAATCTGCTTGAAGATATCACAGTGGGTGCTTGAGATTTTTTCTTTTGATATTTGATTGATAGGGTATGCTGACCCATGCTCAGTTAGCACCCTGTAAATTATCATGACTGAATGCAACCCTCTTTTTTTCTTTTGGTAAAAATACATGGAGTGAAATAAAATTTCAATGTGGAACGATTTTAGAATTTTGTATGTTTGTCTTGAAAACTTGAGGGAACACGGTACTCACTATAACAACATCATAATGACGTTATTATGCCTACAGTATTTTCATTCCTCTTTAACCCCTTAACGACGAATAACGACGAGAGTGACGGACCTTGTCCGTCACCCGTTAAAACTTAACCCCGGATCGCTGCTATTACGGCGATCGCTGGGTTAATGGTGCTTCGGTCTGCCTCTGTATTAGAAGCAGACCGGGAGCACCTGATAGTGCTGCCCCAGCACATGTGCTCGCTCTGACAGCATGGTATACTTACCTTCCGCCTCCCTGCACTTCCTGGTTCTGTGTGAAGTGCAGTGAGCCGGAACAGTGCTGATCCTGCCCCCTGTTAAAAAATAAATAAAGTTTATTTAAAATCCCACCCCCCTTTACTCATTTTAATAAAAAATTAACCCCTTCCCTGCCAATTGATCACTGACTACAGTGATCAATTGGCAGGGGTTACATTTTACTGTCATCAGATTTTTTTTTAACCTCTGAGGGTTAATTTGTTTTAACCCTCAGGGGTTAAATTTACTTAATTTAAACATTTTAAAATTATATATTTAGCTAGCTGGGGTGGGTGGAAGTTAGTAGGGAATTGGGGGATTTGGTGTTAGGCTAACTAGGGGTTAACGTTAAAAAATTTTTTTAAATAAACTTTAAAAAAAAAGTTAGAAATTAAGCTAAAAAAAAAAAAATTGGAATAAAAACAAAAACACCCCCCTTTACCCAGTCCAAATAAAAATTAATTCCTTCCCTGCCAGTCGATCACTGCCTACAGTGATCAAAATACAGATCACAGTATTATACTGTGATTTAATTTTTTTTAACCCCTGAGGATTAACTTTTATTTATTTTTTAACCATCAGGGGTTCAATTTATTTAATTAATTTAAATATTTTATAATTATATATTTTGCTAGCTGGGGTGGGTGAGAGTTATGGTAAAATGGCGAATTTACTGTTAGTGCTGCTTACTGCTAGTTAGGGGTTAACGGTAAAAAAAAAAAAAAGCTTAGAAAAATGTTAAATCTGTAAAAAAAGTTTTAAGAAAGTTTAAAAAAAATTAATAAGCAAAACAAAAAAAGTTTAAAAACTAGTTTTTAAAAGTAAAAAAAGTTTCAAAAAGTAAAAAAACACATTTAAAAACGCTCATTACCACTACACCTGGAACAAACTAGAGAAAAAAATGATCCCACGCTAAGGTTCAAAATATGCCTTTTGAATTACCCCAGGGTGTATTCTTTAATAAATAGTATGTGTTTGTGGGGAAGGTTCAATAACCAACCGTCTAAACTACTCCAAATTGGAACATGGACACAGCGTAAAACTTCAGAGTTAGAAAAAAACTTGAATGGCTGCGTCTCAAATGCGCCCCTTCAACATCCACATATACCTGGCAAAGGTACATATGGTGGTATTGCTGTACTCAGATGACATAGCTGAGCAACATATGAAGTATTATACAGTCGTAGCACACATAAGGTTTGCAAAATATACTGTGCAAATTCACTTTGTGGGTCAAAAAGGCAGAAAAAAAACACTTATTACCACTACACTTGGTACAAACTAGCAGAAAAATTATCCCACGCGAAGGTTCAGAATATGCCTTGTTAAATACCCTGGGATGTCTTCTTTAAGAAATGGTATGGCTTTATGGAGTATTTAGATTATATAGCCTGGTAAAATACTCTATAATGGGACATGGGCACAATGTAAAAATGTAAAGTTTGAAAAAAAACTGGAATTATTTTTTATCACATACTTTAGCATATATTGGTGAAAAATGGGGGGATGTTAAGGCACAATATGCACCTTATGAGATATCCTGGAGTGTCTACTTTTACAAAATGGTAGGCCTTTGTGGGCTTTTTTGAACAGTCAAACTGGTTTAATTACCCCAAATGGAAGCATAGGCTCATTAAATCCATCTCAAAATTTTACTGTGAATACTGAAAAGAACAGGCCTCCTATATGGCACTGTAACCTCACGAAATAGTGCCAAAGACCCTTCTGACCGGAGGACGTACAATTACGCCCTATTATAGGCGGCTCTAAACACGTGTAATTGTACGCCCTCCGGTTTTTGCCTACTTACCCGGTCGCCGGCGGTCCCACGCCGGCGATCGTGGTGGGAGGGGACTCCTAGGGAGCCCCCCTACGGTAGATCCTCTTCCTCGGGTGCCCCCCGGCCATGTGACAATCACATGGCCGGGTAGGCTGCCTCCTGCATTGCCAGCAGGGGGGCTGCCTGTAATGACAGGTGGTCCCCCTGCTGGCTGAAAATAAAATTAAAATAAAATGTATTAGTGCAAAAAAAAAATATATATATGATCTAAGTATATATACACACACGTACACCATCTAGAAGGACATATACTGCGAACGAACCGGAGGTGGGCATGCGATTACTGAAGGAATGGGGGCTATTTCCAGTGAGGTCTCCGGACGGAGCGATAGTGGAGTCACCGAAACGCCCGCAAAGAGAATGGCAGATGGCGGGTTCGCCCTCCCAAATCTGACGACTTACAGGTCCGTCTCAACAAGGACTGTTGTAAGATAAACAATGACTGTCTTGCTTGCCACGTGCAAACTTTTTGAAAAGGTTGTGAGTATATTTTAATGTGCACACATGTATGGGGACATGACACCACAAACTTAACATAATACTTCCGCTAACGGAGAGGTATACACATGAGCCCTAAAGGATAGGCTGACCAAGGGCAGGGGTACAAAGGGTGAAGGTGATCATAACTCCCAGAAATGTTTTATTTTAGCAATCTCAAAAAGATGGATACTAGTCAAATATAGATGTCTGCCCAATTACAGGGCCCCGTAGCCTGGTAACTACACATCTGGGCAGGGGTAATTAAATCCAAGGGACAGGGCGGAAAACCAACCCCGATGGAGGTCGTAGGTGGCATGCTCTCACAACCAGACCATCCCCTAGGTTTGCGCGCAGAGACGGGACAAAACACCCGACTTGCGCCTAAACCAGGAAGAGCGCTGACAAAACTAATGGCGCTATGTATATACTTGAGTTTGTTACAGACCCGTGGTTTTGTTATCCTCGTTTTACCCCGATCCTTCCCCCCCTAGACAACACCAACACCATTTGCTATACATCCTTACCCGTACACGCATGAACTGCACAAGCAGCCTAACAAAAGAATGTATGGCTGACGAACTGAAAATCCTAACATTAAATGTGAAAGGCCTCAACAGCCCCCATAAAACGCAGAATGGCAGCATTGGAAATGGGTAAATCTAAAGCAGCAATAGTGTGCCTGCAGGAGACTCACTTCTGCATCCGCAATACCCCTAGATTTAGCGTCAAACAATACGCCCAAAGCTATCACGCCCTATCACCGACTAAATCCAGGGGGGTAACCGTGTACTTCCATAGGGACTGGGTATTTTCACTCTCCAAACAATATGCTAGACGGGATGGGAGGCTGCTGGTTCTGGTGGGTTCCCTGAACGGACTACAAATAACGATAGCCTCACTATATGCCCCGAATGAAGCGCAGAAACACTTCCTAAACAGGGCGTTCCGCACAATTGCACAATACAAACAAGGACACACCATCATATGTGGAGACTTTAGCTGCTCCCCCGACCCATCCCTAGATATCAGCAGAGTGAATAATGAACCACCAAAGCCAGCCTCTTTGGCTTTAGGCCAGCACCTCAGTACCCTTATGCATGAGCATGATTACTATGACACGTGGAGGAATCTGTATCCACGTGAGAAGGACTTCACGTTTTACTCGCCCGTCCATATGACCTACACTAGAATAGACTTATGCCTCCTAGACACAAGAACACTACCATTTGCACTGAGAGTACAAATAAGTCCAATCACGTGGTCCGACCACGCTCCACAAATCATAACTATAAAAATTCCTTACCCAGCTAGGGGACGAGGCACCTGGCGCCTCAACGAAAGCCTTCTGGACACACCAGGGAATCTCCTTCAAATACAGGTCAAAACACAGGAATACTTTGAGACTCATGCGACTTGCCAGACAACAATTATCACTAAATGGTTAGCCCATAAGGCAGTCATAAAGGGGGAGTTTTATCCAGATGGGGGCGAGAGTAAAGAAGCAGCACAATGCTGAAAGAACACGCCTTGAACAAGAAATAATCACACACGAAGAGGCACACAAACGCAAACCCACTAAACGCACGCACGACACATTGACAAAGCTCAGATCAAAACTAAGCTCTCTCCACTTAATGGAAACTGAAAAAAGGATGCGGTTCCTCAAACAAACATATTATACCATGGGCAACAAGGCGGGAAGACTTCTAGCCCAACAAGTTCGCCAAACAAAATTGCAGTCGAAAATACCCTATATCACCTCAGATCGAGGAGTAAAACTATATAACCCCCAGGACATAGTCAACGAGTTAGCGCGGTATTACGCTTCCCTTTACCAGTTAGACAGGGATCACGGCACTCACCAACCGACTAAAATGGGAATCGCACGATTTCTAGAACAGGTAGATTTACCGTGCCTATCCCAAGAGCAATGCTCCTCTCTGGAAGAACCCTTCTCAGAGCAGGAAATTGAAGAGGCCATCAAGTCCCTACCTAAGCACAAAGCCCCTGGCCCGGACGGCTTATCAAATTATTACTATATAAAATTGTCACCGTATTTGATCGCCCCTCTCACCACACTCTATAATGCAATAAAAGAATCAGGAGAGATGCCCAAAGAAATGTTAGAAGCTTTCATTGTGACACTGCCCAAACCAAACAAACCCCCCACTATCTGTGCTAATTTACGCCCGATTTCCCTGCTAAACGCAGACACAAAACTCTACGCTAAACTGATAGCAATGAGACTCAAAAAAATACTCCCAGATCTCATCTCCGAAGAACAGGCAGAGTTCGTTCCAGGGAGACAAGTGTGGGACAACACCAGGCACTTCTTGAATCTAATAGACTGGGCAAATTTATCGTCCCAGACCGGCCTGATCTTGGCACTAGACGCCGAAAAGGCCTTTGATCGCCTACACTGGGAATATATGACACAGACGCTACTTAGAATGGGATTCTCCTCGAAAGTCCTGTCGAGCATTCTTGCACTATACCGAAATCCAACGGCCAGAGTGTTTAGCATGGGTTTTATATCTGATCAAATAGAGATAAGGAATGGTCCCCGACAGGGATGCCCCCTCTCGCCCCTCATTTTTATACTAAGCCTAGAACCTCTAATTCGGCTAATAAATCGCGACCCAGTAGTACAAGGACTCCACACTCCAGGTGGCAACAAAAAACTGGCACTTTTCTCGGACGACGTTTTAGTATTTCTAACGCGCCCAGAATCCTCACTACCACAACTCATACACAGGCTCGACACATATGGATGGGTATTTTACTATAGGAACAACACAACGAAGACACAAGCATTGCCTATAAATTTACCGAGCACTATCGTCACGACGCTACAAGCACAACACACCTTTGACTGGCGCAAAACCTCTCTAAAATACTTGGGGATCAATCTCACAAAGTCCACTCAGACCACCATACGGGAAAACCATTATCCGGTCATACAAAAACTAAGAACCACACTAGAGAAATGGGAAGGACTCGAGGTGTCCTGGTTAGGCCGCATCAACCTTATCAAAATGATGGCGCTGCCGCACATACTGTACCTGTTTAGAACCTTGCCCATCGCCCTCCCCACCAAACTTTTAAAACTCTTCCAAAGCACAATAAACGCACATGTATGGAAACGGAAGCCCCCGAGAGTGGCAAGGGGAGTGCTGGGGCTCCCAGGCACCAGTGGGGGGCTGGGCATGCCTGATATCAAGGCTTACTATAAGGCAACCGTTTTAGCGCAGGGACTCAGGCTCTTACGCTCCGTGACCACCACCCGTAAACCCATCTGGCTAGAAATGGAAAGCGCCTGCCTGGCCACCCGCGACCTGTCACGGAACTTATGGGCAGGGGGACACCCCCAGTTTGTGGGGGGGGAAACAACTGCAGAGTTCACGGTTTCTTTTAAGGGCATGGAATAACTGGAGCTCTTGCATAGTGAACCCCAAAGAGCTCTTTTTAGCAGCACCCTTGGAAACACTAGAAATACTATCCCCAGACATGTCGATGGGCCGATGGAAAGGGAGGGGCAAATCCCGGGTCCAAGACATACTAGAAGGAGACAAAATTAATCAATTCCCCATCCTGCAAAGGAAATTACAGCTACCAGCGAGGGATATCTTTCAATACCTTCGAATAAAAAATATAGTGCACTCGCATATCCAACTCTGCACCATCCACTCCTCCAAACCCCACATAACGCTTAAACAGGCACTCTTCCACAAGCAAATCAAACCGCTTTCAGCATGCTACAATGCACTAATCACTTCGGCGGCCCCCGATAAACCTACATACATGAATCTGTGGGAGGAGGACTTGGGACTCCAAATCCCCAAGACAGAGTGGCTAACGGCTCTGGAAACCACGAAAAAAGCATCGCAAAGCCTCACACTCTGGGAAGCGTATTGCAAGGTGCTAATGAGGTGGTACTTGGTGCCACACAGACTGGCACGCATGTACCCGGGCACGTCCGGGAAGTGTTGGAGATGCAACATAGAAGAGGGAACCATGTTCCATATTTTCTGGATGTGCCCTCTACTGACTGATTACTGGGAGAAGGTCCATTTGCTCCTACTAGGCAGGACGGGTATCACTCTTCCCAAGAAGCCGGAACACTACATACTTCACATAGCACCCAGTGTGGCCACTCACCCTCATAGGAAAGTAGCGTTAAACATTCTAACGGTAGCAAAAATTGTGCTGGCCGGCAACTGGAAGAGAAACAAAATCCCAGCAGTAGAGGCTATAACACAAAAAATGGATACGATTAGCGCATATGAAAAAATGGCCAATAGAGTAAACGGTAGCAGTGTGAGATACGACAGGGAATGGAGTTGCTGGCCAGCGGGAATTTAGGTAGTAGAACAGGAGCCGCAGTACGGCGACACCTACACTGACATGGAGCAAGGATCAGTTGGGAGCAGTGACAAGTTTACAAATGGTTGTACAGGATTTAACCACCATATGTATAAAGTGTTGTCTAGGGAACCCCCCCCTCCCCTTCTTCCTTTCTGTATCTTCCCCCAATCCAAGTTCTTGTTATAAAAAATAAATGAAACAGGAATAGCTTGTCAGACGTGCATTACAGGCAGTAATTCCACCCGCACCGACCCAACACAAAAGGACACTAGGCACATCACATAACACAGTGCCCTCGAGCAGAGAGATCCAAAGCGAGTGTACCTACCTGGGAAGCAACATTGGCTTCAAACATATATACAGAAGATGTTGGTCTATAACATGTGGGGAAACGGAATCCACAGCTGCGACTGTGTTGGGTTTGTATGCCAGAGTGCACTGCGATGCACAAAGTCTGAAATTTTGCTTGCACCAATAAAAAGATAAATGAGAAAAAAAAAAAAAAACGATATATGTGTCAGTGCAATAAATTAGTAAAATGCAAATTGCAGTTGAACACAAACAGCAAAAAAAATGTAAAAAATGCTGTTGTCATTAAGTGAAGCTCTGTCCTTAAGGGGTTAATGGCCTCAAGTGACTTTATCTTAATAGAAGGCATGAAAGCGCAGTTTCAAGCCACACCTCCAAGTCCTCTGGGTAAGAGACATGGGATTGTTACTTCCCAACTTTCATACCCTAGCATTCCATGACATCTGAGCGTATGTGCAGTGTTGTCACCTTTTACCATAGAAAATTATTGCATGCAATGAATCTCCATGACATAATCACAGGTTAATTGCATCTCTGAGACCGTCTGATAAAAACGGAGCTTTCATTGGAAGCAACACTGTCTGAGCAACTAGAGGAATTGAGGTGGTCTGGGTGCATATAGTGTCCCGTTAAATCTAAACCTAATCATAAACTTCACACTAATCCTAGTAATATTGTCAGAAAGATTCCCTCTGCAGAGATATTTCCTTGCCGATTTCAGAAGATGGATTAATGGTCCCAATGATTGCCCTAATCCAAAACATAGTTATAAATCCAATTCTAAACATAAATATAATCGAAAACCCAAGGGTTTCCCCTCTGCTAATATCAGTACTGATATTAGCAAAGGGAATTCTAAGCTAAAACAGAGGCAGTTTTCAGCATGATAGAATCCCTGTCGTACGAAAAAAAAAAAAAAAAAAAGGAAGTTATGACCTGCTCCAAATTAAATGGGGATTTCTCACAAACAAGTTGCTCAAAGAGAATCACCATAGCAGAGTTTGATCACTCAGCTGCGGTGTTCTCAATGCATTTAAAAGACTGCATGTAGTGGCACTGCCTACAGCTCATCTGTCAGTCTGGAGGCAATAACTGTGGCCCTTCCTGACAGAGAGGATACCCAGGTATCAATTAATACGTTGTATTGATTGACACCTCGGTCTTCCTGGTATGAGCAGGGATTTAACCCTGGTCACACTGCATTGCTGTCTATAGGGATTTAAATCCTTATTTTAGTTACTGCATGCAGCTCACCTGTCTGCCTGGTGCCACTAAAAATGGCCTTTGCTGATAGTTAGGATTGTCAGGTATCAAATGATACCAGGTGTTTCTCTATTACCAACATAGAAACAGTCCCTGCTGGTAAAATATGTTAAGTCTATGCATATTGGGCTAAAGAAAGACGGCCGATGGCACACACCACCAGCCTCTGTGCCACTTAAGTTCTCCTCTGGTGCACTCCCGGCATGTCCCTCCCAATCCCACCAGTGAAGGGTAGTGATGGAGAGGGAGGCTTAATCCATAAAAATACAATGCTTATTATTCCCCTTCACTAGAGAGCACTTTTTTAAAATGTATTTTTAAATCATGGAGCAAGTATTGCATAGCTACCATATAAAATGTATAACAAAGCAATTTATTTTGTGTATAGCTTGCAGGCAAACTTAAATTTGCACAATATTTTTTCACTTATTCATTCATCCTTTATAAAAAATTTGTGAAATGAAAAGCTTTAGACAGCATACAGAGTCCTTTGTTTAGCAATAATTCACAAATATTTGCAAAATGTTAATTTAAAGCAAAACTGCGATTTTTCTCATATACAATAAAGGTGAAAATATAGGTCAATAAAAATGGTCAAACATCTTGCTAATCAGTATTTGCAAAGGAACTTAAAGGCATTACTAGCAGTACAGCTTACTAAAATTGGCAACATAATGTCTTCATTTGGGCATAATTCCTACATACAGTAAATAATCTAGAATGCCAATGTAATACGGACAGTGAAAGAGTAGGCCCATTCATTCCTCCATTTTCATCGACTGCAGGAATTCTATAACCCATTGAAACTTCCTGTGTTGTTTGAAAGAGGGGGTAGGCTTATATTTTCACCAAATTTACAGGAATGTTAGCAGTAAATAGTGGCTTCTGGCAAAGAAATGTATTTCTCTACAGGCTGGTAATCCTAGAGTATAAATTAGGGTGAGTGAGGCTTTATTCAATAATTCCATATAACAAAATGTATTTTCCTGAAAACAACTAAAGGCACTTCCTTAACGAGACTGAGTAAAATCGGTGTGGGACTCGAAACATTGCTGATAGCACTACTTGATTGGAGTGTGGCATGTGGAGATGGAGATGCGCAATCCAATGCTTCATTACGAGATGCAATGGATTGGAGGAGATTTGCGGGTAATGTCAGCATGGACCCACTGAGATGAGTCATTGTTATTTATCTTTGTTTTACTGAGCATAGGGGTGGACAGAAGGGAACTGATAGTTCTGAAAATAACTTTTTATTTTGATACTATAGGTTCATTTAAGAAATTAAAATTCATGCTAGACAAGGAAATATATAAAAAAAACAGGGTAATGGGACAGCACTAAGAAGTCAGTAGAGGCTAAAGAACAAATAGGGAAGCAGCAACCTATAAAAATGAGGTTCCCTCTCTATTCCTCACATGAAAGGACAAACAAAAGAAAATATATAGGTGGCGCTATATGGTAGTGGATATAGAAGTAAATATAAAATGGAATAAGACAAATATATAAATAAACAGGAAAAATGATCCCAATACTAAAAAGTCTTTAATAGAACCTGTAATAGTACTGGAGTCTGGAAAAAGTCCAAAGGGTAGCTGGATCTTCTTATGTTAACGGTGTCTCAGTTCGATGGTGGATATATGGACATGTAAGGAAAACAAAAAGACTCCAATAGTGCAGATTGTAATTCAGAAAATAGGTAGATAGGCAAATCTCATAGCAGATGGTCCACTCACCTATTTCTGAGCATAAACTTGCTCAAGTGGTAGTGGCATTCAGTGGCGTTGATCCTCCACTGGTAGGATATAGGTGACGAAAATATGAGAAACTCCTCGGTATGTGGAGAGATGAAGAAACAGTATAGTGCTCACTGAATGAGTGAAAAGGGTAAAATAATAAGAGCAGTAAAATACTCACATGTATATGAGCAGGATATAATGCTCACTTTGGTAGCGTAGGTGGTATTATCCCCACCTGGGATTCTTGAGCATATGCGTGTTCCAATATAGCAGGTACCAGGTTTCAAAATAAAAAATGATATTATATAATAAAAAGATATATAAAAGCTAATAAAAAGATATATAAAAGCTAATAAAAAGGCCAATATAACTTTATTAATAATAACAGAGTGAATAAAATATAAATACAGCCAAAACGCGTTTCGCCTCACAGGGCTTTTTCAATTGGCAATAAGGAAAGAAACAGACTGGTACATGAATGCTTTTATAAACTATCTGAACATATGCAGATTCAAAATTTGGCGCCAGAATGACGTCATCATTAAAACATAAAAATGCAGAGAAAAAGACAAATGTTGAGAAGATTCTTAATAAAATAACACAAAAGTTATTGTAATTTAATGTTGTAGTTGAAACTTAAAAACGAGCGTTGGTTAAAATAAACAAATAAAATATTTGGAAACATTAAAATCACATGATCGCGCCGTCACGCGGTCACGTGGTGCGGCTGAAAAGGCTTGTGGGAACTGTATGCTGGGCGATTGTGAAGATCGGCACCAGCAGGGTGGAGCAGGAGATACTGACAGAGACACGTGATCGCGAGCTGCCGCGGTCACGTGGTTTGGGGGAAAGGAACTTAAAGAAATGATGCTATAAGCCGGCAACACAGTGGGCGGATAGGGAATAACAAACACGTGATCGCGAACAGCCGCGATCACGTGGGATGTAACAAAAGGGTAATAAAAATATAATTTAAATAAGAAACCTGCGTGAGGCATGGACCAAATACTGGAATATAAAGTAAACAGAGATGGTCATATAATATTGTATATATGCTTAATAAATAAAAAATGTGTGACAAAATGATAAGCATATAATAAGACAGGATTAGACCTACTTAGGGGTGGGCATATTAAGAGTAATGGTAAAAAAAAACAAAAACAAAAAAAAAAAAAACAACCTTCCTATTGTTAAGAAAATGTAATGTAATTATAAATAATGATTATATTATAAAAAATTTAAAAGATCAAAATCTGCATTTAGCCCATTGGGACAGAGAGTTTTTAATTGAAAAACCAAATTCATCTCTCTTTTCCCTAATATTTTTTTCATATCCCACCTCTCCAGGGCATGGTAACTTGTTCTATTCCAATAGCTTTTAAAAGTCTTGGGTCTTTATTATGCATTAAAAAGTGTTTGGAAACTGAATGGTTATCATAGCCTTTTTTAATATTATGTCTAAACCAAAAGGCTTTTTTAAATGTAATAAATGTGTTGTATGTAAATCTACAAATCCAGCCACTAACACTAAAACTACAGACTTTTTATCCACCATCACAGAGGTATCATATCCTATCAAAGATTTTATTGGCTGTAACACCAAAAATGTTATATACCTACTAGAATGCCCTTGCGGACTTCAGTATATAGGCATGACGACAAGATGTTTAAAAACTCGCCTAGCTGAACATTGTCGCAATATTAAAAAAGGCTATGATAACCATTCAGTTTCCAAACACTTTTTAATGCATAATAAAGACCCAAGACTTTTAAAAGCTATTGGAATAGAACAAGTTACCATGCCCTGGAGAGGTGGGGATATGAAAAAAATATTAGGGAAAAGAGATATGAATTGGGTTTTTAAATTAAAAACTCTCTGTCCCAATGGGCTAAATGCAGATTTTGATCTTTTTAATTTTTTATAATATAATCATTATTTATAATTACATTACATTTTCTTAACAATAGGAAGGTTGTTTTTTTTTTTTACCATTACTCTTAATATGCCCACCCCTAAGTAGGTCTAATCCTGTGTATATGCTTATCATTTTGTCACACATTTTCACATTTTTTATTTATTAAGCATATATACAATATTATATGACCATCTCTGTTTACTTTATATTCCAATATTTGGTCCATGCCTCACGCAGGTTTCTTATTTAAATTATATTTTTATTACCCTATTGTTACATCCCACGTGATCGCGGCTGTTCGCGATCACGTGTTTGTTATTCCCTACCCGCCCACTGTGTTACCGGCTTATAGCATCATTTCTTTTAGTTCCTTTCCCCCAAACCACGTGACCGCGGCAGCTCGCGATCACGTGTCTCTGTCAGTATCTCCTGCTCCACCCTGCTGGTGCCGATCTTCACAATCGCCCAGCATACAGTTCCCACAAGCCTTTTCAGCCGCACCACGTGACCGCGCGACGGCGCGATCACGTGATTTTAATGTTTCCAAATATTTTATTTGTTTATTTTAACCAACGCTCGTTTTTAAGTTTCAACTACAACATTAAATTACAATAACTTTTGTGTTATTTTATTAAGAATCTTCTCAACATTTGTCTTTTTCTCTGCATTTTTATGTTTTAATGATGACGTCATTCTGGCGCCAAATTTTGAATCTGCATATGTTCAGATAGTTTATAAAAGCATTCATGTACCAGTCTGTTTCTTTCCTTATTGCCAATTGAAAAAGCCCCGTGAGGCGAAACGCGTTTTGGCTGTATTTATATTTTATTCACTCTGTTATTATTAATAAAGTTATATTGGCCTTTTTATTAGCTTTTATATATCTTTTTATTATATAATATTTTTTATTTTGAAACCTGGTACCTGCTATATTGGAACACGCATATGCTCAAGAATCCCAGGTGGGGATAATACCACCTACGCTACCAAAGTGAGCAGTATATCCTGCTCATATACATGTGAGTATTTTACTGCTCTTATTATTTTACCCTTTTCACTCATTCAGTGAGCACTATACTGTTTCTTCATCTCTCCACATACCGAGGAGTTTCTCATATTTTCGTCACCTATATCCTACCAGTGGAGGATCAACGCCACTGAATGCCACTACCACTTGAGCAAGTTTATGCTCAGAAATAGGTGAGTGGACCATCTGCTATGAGATTTGCCTATCTACCTATTTGCTGAATTACAATCTGCACTATTGGAGTCTTTTTGTTTTCCTTACATGTCCATATATCCACCATCGAACTGAGACACCGTTAACATAAGATCATCCAGCTACCCTTTGGACTTTTTCCAGACTCCAGTACTATTACAGGTTCTATTAAAGACTTTTTAGTATTGGGATCATTTTTCCTGTTTATTTATATATTTGTCTTATCCCATTTTATATTTACAAGGAAATATATATATCACATACACACTAAAAATTACAGTTTAAATACAGTATTCAAACCTGAATTTCTTGTATTGGGACCAGGAAGGGGCTTATCCTCTTTGTAAATCAAATATATATCCAGGTTTGAATTCTGCCTTTTCAGTGTAATGTTTGGTTTTACTTTTAGCAATACACTATCCATGCTAGGAATGCCAGGTTAATTTACAGGAATAACGAGACATAAATCACCATACACCCCATATACCATACAAGCTAAGCACTTGAAACAAATAAACGCATTTCCCATCAATGTTCCCTCCTATAATAATGGCCATGTCACACATACTGCATATGGTTCAGTGGTAACAAGTTCCAGCTGCCAGTCACACCATCATATCAGCTCCAGTCCCCAGATATCGCCCGTAGCGAGCTCATTCCCCATTACTGCCTCTAATACCTGCTTATAAAATACACCAATAAATCGCTCTGCTACCTGAAATCCCATTCACATGATCAGCAGCTCGGCTCAGACACGTCACTTCCGGGTCAGGTGCAGCGGAGACACGGGCTGTGTGTGATGCTGAACAGGAAATTTTTTATTTTTTTTAACATAACTTTATTGAGATCCTGTGTTTACTAGGACATCAGTGCTAGAATGGCTACCTCCATTATTCATAACACGCACATATGTTATATGCAGGAATAGCCTTAACCCCTTAGTGAGGCAGTTTGGCAAGCAATTTGCTCTATGATGGGTCCACCATTGCTGTTTTATTGTTTCTCGTTCGGTTATAACTTTATAAAATTAGCGTCCTTTTTCTGCAGCATATGAATGCTACATACTGCACCTAGTCCCTTGTCTGTATGTGTTTGGAAGGAACTGAGGGATCAATAGTTAACCCTCCATTCCACCTCTCTGCCAGGTGCCAGGCTGTTGTGCAGCGCAAGGCACGTATTAGTAATGCGCTGCGTTAACAGATTTTGATTGGTCCCGAATACTTTGTGGCGAATTTTGCGCAGGCATTTGCTCTAGCTATACTACGGTCTGTGAGGTCATTCTATTGGACCGTCAAATAGAATTAAATAATTTCAGTACCTCCGCAAGTTCAGCTCCCTTAAGGTACGTCAACACTGTCTATTTGCTTCTTGCCACACTATGGAAGAGTTGTTAGCCAGGTTCCAACACCGGCTTCAGGTGACGTAGACTCGTAGAGGATTGGCTGGGGCAACGTTTACCTCAATCTCCTGTCCAGCCTGCTGAAAAGGAGCCAAGCACTGCAGCTTATCAGCTGCTAGATGAAGAGAGTGGGGGCAGGGCCAGCACTACCATAAGGGAGCACCGTCCTGGTGGGTGCAATGTCATGGCACTGGGTGACCGACAGGAGGAGAGTTCATAGCACAGCGTTGCCCCCTCTGTCAATCAATTATTATTATTATTGATACAAAATAAAAAATGCAGTAAAAACCAATAAAAATTGGTATAAATTAATACAAAAACAGACTACAGGGCTAGATCAGTCCAAAGTCAAATACTGCTCAATGGCTGGTAATGTCCAAAACTTGCCCCTGGCACGGGGCGAAACGTGTTTCGGACATTGCCAGCCATTGGGCAGTGTTTGACTTTGGACTGATCTAGCCCTATAGTCTGGTTTTTATTAATTTATACCGATTATTATTGGTTTTTACTGCATATTTTATTTTGGATCAATAAAGTTCTTTGTGAAGACATCCTGCATGCACAGCTGCACTTTATTTTATCCAGCCTGAAAAGTACAGCAACATCTAGAAGAAGGACAGGGACATCCCACTGAAAAATCCCACTGCATTATTCATGAGAGCCGTATGTTACTATTTGGCCCCAGGCTTGTGAGTACTTGACCCACATATCATCCATATCTATATATTTATTGACAATATGGCACTATATTGTTTTGTGTTTCTTTTAGACGCATCAAGACGTGTGATCCACCTATTGTATGTATTGTATTTCTCAGAGTGGTACAAGGGGTTTCCACTTAGGTGGTTTGTAGCATTCTTTGCTATGTACCCTCTATCCAATCTGACAGTGAGTGCTCGCTGGGAGTAACAAGCAGCTTCCTGTCTGACTGGGTAGAGGATACAAAAGATCCTCTACTGGCGGTCGGTCCGATCATGGTACACAGGGGAGGTGAGCAGGCAAGCAAGGGGGAAAGAAACCACAAAAGGTGCTGGGGAAGGAGACAGTGACACACAAAGAGAGACTTAGGAAGAAGACAATGAAACACGCAATGGGGCTGGGGAAAGGAACAGACACTCAGAGTGATTGGGGAAGGGAACAATGACACACACAGAAGGGAAGGGGGCTAGTTTTATTAGCAAAAATATAGATCCTAATATGAGTGCGGCCATTGTTGCGCATGTACATTAGGTTTCCCCCGTCGGCGAGCAACGGCAAGGGAGGTGGGTGGGCGGAGCTGAGCCAGCACCAAGGGACATCAGTGCTGGACGCAAGTAAGTGACAGAAGGTGTTGAGAGAATACAAAACAGAATAGGGATCCAGCTCGTATCACTAAAATATAAACATAAAATGCAACATAGTGTAATACAGTATAACCTTAAAAATCGCTTGACGCTTTAAGGTTGCGCTCACAAATAGATGGTATATGTAAAGCTTTCAGGGTACCTCCCCTATGGTCAGGGGGGTATTTCCTGCTGTTGGTAATAACGCCCATTCCGAAGTCAGTAACTCCACACCCTCCCAATGGTTAAATGTAAAAAATAAATGTATTGGCATAAAATATAATTAATGGTAATAAAACAAAAGCAATTTACCCCTTCTGCACCATGGGGGTGGGCCTTGAAAGAACTGAAAGCTAAAGTGCCAGGAAAGCAAGTTTGTTTTTCTGGCACTATAGTTTCCTTTTAAATACCAAAGGACCTAGAAAGTTATTTCTAATAAAACTAGTAATATTTTTTCCCTTGACCTTCCTGTGTATTTTATCCTGACATTTGGTTACTGATTTCTGATATGCCATATTTGCTCTAATACAGTAAGTATATATTCTAATTATATATACTATAATATAATGAGTATATAATATTTCTCTTACTTTTATTACACAGTAAGCACTATATTTTTTATTTTGTTTTATCCATATACCTCATGGTGAGAACTGCAACTAGATGCATACTTGCAAAAACAGAATCTTCAAGGATATAATTTTTCAATGTAGGGTAATAGCTTCTTGATCCACGGATAAATTTGGCTGCCATTCTGGGGTCAAAAAGGAATTTATTTCCTAGTTTTGTCAAACCAGGTTTTTTTGCCTTCTTTTGGATCAACAGCAAAAAAACAAATGCAAGAAGGGATGAACTTGTAACTGTAGAAGAAAAAATTCAAATAGCACAGTGACAGCAGTCTGTTCTTTCAAATATCTACTAATGTTACTAGACCCCAATCTACCCTTTGGCCTTCATATTGAAAAAATCTCTTCAAAACTTTACCCAAAACTAGGTGCCCTTTACAGAAATAAATCCCGCCTAAGCCCTACAGTAAGGAAACAGATGCTAATGCCGGTGTTATGTCTGAATCAGTGACCCATCAGATTGTGTGCCGCGGCTCCGCCCCCTGATTTTTTTCTCACTGATCTACCCTGCCTTCTCCCTCCCACACTATCTCCAGTCCGGCCCCCTCCCTCTCCTGAAAGCATAGCTCTGCCCCTGCACACTACATTTCAATCCAGCTTCTAAAATACATACAGCTCCCCTGCTTCTCTCTGCCTCCTCCCCCCCAAATCAAACCACACCCCCTGCAGACTGCCATTCCATCCAGCTTTCCACCTCCCCTGCACAGCCTGTAATTACACCACATTCTATTGAGCACTGAGCAGTACATTAACAACATTAATATAGTGAGCACAGTGCTGTACATTAACACCACAGTGCTGTACACCCTGATAACCCATTTAGAATGTTTAGTTGGAATGTTCACACCTCGCTAGCGAGGTGTGAAAACCGCAGACCGCAAGCTTCAACCACGCGGGGGTTCCGTGCGCCGGACCACCCCAATACTTCATTTAGAACGTGTGGTTAGAATATTCACACCTCACTAATGACCGAACATCCAGCAGAGGGAGTATTCGCATCCCGTACCGGACTGTGCACACTGTTTTCAATCCCCGTGTCGGGGATCGTCTTACCCGCTCCCCAACAGAGCTATGATCTCTGATTTCCCCTATCTGGGAGCTATGAGGCTACGCACATGGCTGCTCAGGAAAGCGCTCTCTCAGGTGGGTACCTGCGTGAGGGACGCGCGCCTGCAGGTAATCCCTGGGGCTATACGTATACATGTAAGGATCTTTGGTGCGTGTATATATATATATATATATATATATATTAATTAGTTTGCATTATTCCTAGCTCCCTTTCTCGTCTCTTGGAGCCTTTAACCCATTGGATACCAATATCACTATATACCTGCTATTTCTTGCCCTCAGTTCCAAACGTTTGTCACTTGACTATGAACCTACCTGTATAATTGCTCTCTTACCTATGTATTCAGAGTCATTCAGGGATATATAAACCTATATAGGCTACAGAGATTCTACCTTTTTAAATCACTTTCACACGAGTCCATAGACTTTGTTAAGAATAATTTAATAAAGATTGTTGTAATACATCTACTATATTACCATTCTGTGCCTCAGGAGTTACATATGCCAGTGTGGGTATACCTTCGGAGAGATTTTAAGAGGAACGGCTTTGTGCCTTCTATCCCCTTCATTTCTCAGAGGTAACTCCTGTGCTGATGTGCCACGGTCAGTGGTACAAGCAGGTGCAGCACTAGTGGTGGTGGAAGTAGTGGTCTTGGGAGGGGGATTAGGAAACAGTCTCCATATACAAGAAGGAAGCTTCTTAGCAACATGACTCACAGGCCTGCTTGTGGTAGAGGAAGACACGCTTCCTCTTACTTATTGTGCTACTCCTACTACTAGTTGTATTTTTAGTAGTAGTACTAGCCCTAGTGCTCACCCTAAAAAGCTCTGCTGGTTTCCCTTTATCATAGAAAAGAATTGCAGTTCTGGACCTTGCTGCACTATTGCCTGCTATTGGTGCCTTTTCTTGACCAGGATCTTGCACCAATAGGCCTAAAATGCGAGACAAAGACCTTGGCCTCCTAGGCGATGAGTCTGACATAGCAGCACTACTTGACCGGTGAAGCTGACGCATAGGCTGCGTACTCAAACTACCACTACTTGTGATGGTGGTGGTGGCTGACTGACCCTGCCTCACTTTACTAGTGGATAAAAATTTAGGAAGATCCATTTAGAATTTTAAAATAGTAAGAGAGAAAAGAAAAGTTTAAGAAAATAAGGCGATAATGTAATGTAGTGTTTTTTTTGTTTTGTTTTTTTAAATTCTTTATTTTTCATAGAAAAAAGAGGTGCATATGTGTGCCAATGACTAGGCTTACGCAGAAGCCGCGAGAGAGGTGCATATATGAATGACAATGTGTAGGCTTACGCAGAAGCCACAAGAGAAGTGCATACATGTGTGACAATGCATAGGCTTGCGCAGAAGCCGCGAAAGAAGTGCATACTTATGTCAGTGCATTGGCTTACGTAGAAGCCGCAGTGCGTTTTCAGATGGTTCAATTACACATTGGTGAGGGTGATTATGTCAAGGCAAGAGATATGCTCACTGTTGCCGCTAGACTCGTCGGCGGTTAATTTGTCATCTCGTGGTGTGCTGAGACAACTCTGCTTGGTTTGTCAGTGAGGTCTTGCCTTGAATACATATGTCACTTCAATCAGTATGGTTTTGTACGGTTGTTAACTAAACATATCATAACAGGTATTCTAAAATCCAGTATTAACCAGTAATATTGTATTTAGTGATACCTTGAATTGGTGCTTCTGTTTCCACGGCTCGGATGAGGGGTGTCGTGTGTCCCTTTGTCGTTCGGTTCCCCTGTCCGCCCTCCATGTTTTCCTGATATTGTTCCCATAGATCCCATTTTTGCTAAATTTTTTTGGTGGTATGCCTGACCAGGGAAGTTAATCTGTCCATAAGGTAATTATCTTTTATCTTCGCTACTACCAGTGCTACAGGGGGCATTTCTGGACATAGCCATTTCTGTGCTAGTGTTCTACGGGCCGCTAAGTATATCATATTTAACAGTTGTTGCTCTGGTCGTGGAAGGCCATCTGTTGGCCTTGAGAGGAGGCAGACCCAGGGGTCTAGTTTTAGTGGTCTCTGCAATATGTTAGTGCTTAGGTTGATAATTTGGACCCAATAGGTCTGTACCAAGGGGCACTTCCACCACATGTGCACATAGGTGCCTTGTTCCCCGCAGCCGTGCCAGCACAGATCTGTGGGGGTGATCCGCATGCGGAATTTTTTTATGTGTGGTGTACCACCTGAAAAGTGTTTTAAATGACTGTTACTGGAGGGTGACACATATTGATGATCGGGCTGTGGCCTCCCAAATGTCCTGCCAGTCAGAGCCCTCTAATGTCTCACCCAGGTCTGTCTCCCACTGGTCTGTGTATCGTAGCTCCCCCCATTCTTTGGCCTCCCCGCTGAGGTGGCAGTATAGTAACGATATGAGTCCACTGGGGTGTTTTTCCTGGTAGCATATATTCTCAAACCAGGTGAGTGGGAGAGTGGCCGTCTCCTTGACTTCTTTTGAGCTAGCAAAGTCTCATTATTGGAGGTAGCGGAAGAAGTACTTGGTGGTAAGGGGGGATTGTTCCCTGAGCTGGTCGTATGTGACTACTTGGCCGTTTTTATATAGATGGCAATATCTCTGGATGCCTGCTCTTTCGAGGCCGCTAAAGTCACCCGCTGTCATACCTGGTGGGAAGGATCGGTTCCTGAGTACTGGGGACATTGGAGAGGGGAATCTGCTTAAGGAGTATTTAGTTGCTGTTAGGTCCCAAATTCTTAGTGAGTTCGTTATTGCTGGGCAGGTCACTCTAGGGAGTGCTCTGTGTGTCTTGTGTAACCAGGGATAGAACTGTCGTAGATCTTGCCCCATTAGTGAGGTTTCGAGTTCTACCTGTCGACGGGTGTCTGGTGTAGATTGCCTATATGCTATTTGCGCCGTCTGCGCTGCTAGATAGTATAGGTACATGTTCGGTAGTCCCAGTCCCCCTCTGTCCTTGGGTCTGTACAAGAGTTTCCTGGCTATTCTGGGTCGTTTCTTTTGCCAAATGAACATGTCTATTGCTTTTTGGAGTGTGGATAAGTCGCTCCTCTTAACCTGTATGGGCAGGGCCTGGAACATGAATAGTAACCTGGGTAGAATATTCATCTTAATTGAGTGGAGTCTTCCTAACCATGAAATGGGTTTGTCCATCCACTGCTCCACGTCTCTCAGGAGTGTACAGAGCAATGGGGAGTAGATGGTGTCGTGTAGATGTTCGTACTGTGCTGTAAGTTTGACCCCTAGATAGGGTATGTTGTCAGCTGTGATGGGTAGATGGTATTTGTCGTGTATTATGGCTTTATCTTGGGTCCAGAGGTGGAATGGTAGTGCCATGGATTTGACCAGGTTCACTCTATAGCCCGCAAGGGATCCATACTTGTCTAGGAGGTCGTCAGATTTTCCATGGAGGTCAAGGGAGTCAGCAGCACGAGAGTCAGCAGCACGTCGTCTGCATAAGCGGAGACTTTGAAGGTTTTCCCTGTGTTGGCGTACGTCTTGCAGTAACGGTTCTAGGGAGATGGCGAATAGCAGTGGGGATAGGGGGCATCCCTGGCGTGTACCGCTATGAAGGTGGAAGGGGGTCTTAGTGGCTCCTGCTATTAGGGTTTGGGCTCTCAGGTTAGTATATAAGGCGCGCGTGGCCTGGATGTAGGCTTCTGGGAAGCCCCATTCTTCCAGCAGGCCAAATAGATATGGCCATTTCACCCTGTCAAAGGCCTTTTCCGCGTCCAGGGAGATGGCCAGTGAAGGCAGTTTAGATTTTTGCATGTACCATGTGAGCACCGCCCCCCACCTGTCGGCATCGGGTGCTCCTCCAGTCATAAAGTGGTTATATAAGGAAGTGAGGTGGGGGGCCAGCTCTTCTTTGAATTTATTGTAGTACCCTATTTCGTAACCATCGGGGCCTGGGGCTTTGTTACCTTTTAAGATCACTATAGCGGTTTCTACTTCTAATTGGGAGATGGGTTCTTGTAAGTTTGTGGTGTCTATATCTGTTATCTGAGGTAGCTTTATGCTGGTAAGGAATGTACGTAGTGAGGAACGTAGTTGTTCCGGCGTGTTTTGTGAGTGGTGGGCCTGCCCATAGAGGTTCGAGTAGAACTCCGTGAATACCCTGTTAATATCATGGGGGGTCGTTGCTAGTTCCTGGTGAGTGTGCGTAGTCTCGTGATGGGTTTGTGGTCCCCGCGGGGGCGCAGTGCTCTGGCTAGTTTTGTTGGACTTTTCGTAGAACAGTCGTCTAGATCTCTGAATGGAGTGTGCGACCCCCTCGAGCAGGATCCCCCTGATTGAGTGTCGTAGAGCGGTGAGTTCCGCTAGTTTTTCGGCTGTGGGATTTTGTTTGTGCTGTTGTTCCGCTTTTCTCAAAGCGTTCTGAAGTTCTGTTAGTGCTCGGGTGTTGCATTTCTTTTTATATGTTGCTGCTCTAATGACCGCTTTGTGGGCTGCCTATAGCGCTACTGGGTCCACTCGGGTGTGGTGTTTTGTGTGAAGTATTCTGTGAGTAGGGTACGCGTGTCTTCGCATATAGTGTCACTATTTAATAGGCTTGTGTTAAGGCGCCAGGTCCATGTGGCGGAGTATTTGAGTTTGTCTAACGTAATTGATTTGTCCGCATGGTCCAACCAAGTGATACTGCCTATGTCAGTATGCACGAGCTTGGACATCCCTACTCCGTTGAGAAAGATGTGGTCAATTCTCGAGTATGTGCCGTTGGGTGCCGAATAGAACGTGTAGTCTCGTGTGTCTGGATGCTGGAGCCTCCAGGTGTCTAGGAGATGTGTTCGTGAGGAATGTGTGCAGTAGCTTGTCCTGTGCTCCTCTCCCCTGGGACCTGGGTGAGCCTGTTTTCGTGCTTCTGTCGATTGCCGGACTTGGTACGGCGTTAAAGTCACCCCCCACCAGTGTAATCCCTCCCCCTTCAGCATTAATTATTATCGTGAGAGTGTACCAGTATGTAGGTTCTGTTATGTTAGGAGCATACACATTAATGATTCTTATTTTTGTGCTGTGTATCGTGCCTGTTATTACGATGTAGCGGCCTTCTGGGTCAGCTAGTGTCCCTGTCACCTGGAGTGGGCAGTTTTTGTGTACTAATATTGCCACTCCGGCGCGTTTGTGTAGCGCTTTCGCTTCGTGGGTCTGTGGGAAGTATCTGTCTTTCAGGGTTACTGATGCTGTTCTGGGTATGTGGGTTTCTTGTATAAGGGCAATGTCTGTTTTGCGTGATTTCAGGTCCCTTAACAGTAACCTGCGTTTGTTCGGAGTGTTCAGTCCCTTAACATTGAGAGAGGCAATTTTCAGGGCCATGTGTAGGGTGTGACACTAGGGGTGTAGTGGTGTGTTTGTTTGAGCACCTACTTTGTTGCGTGATCTGTTTCCCACTTTCCGTGGGTGGATCCCCCTCACCCGAGCAGTGGGCAGAAGCAGTATCGGTTTGTGGTGTGGCCTTGTCCGTGGAGACGTTTTGTAGAGAACCTTTACTGCGAAAGGAAATTACACCGTTAGCAATTGAAAGATAAACATAAACATAAACAAACATAAACAAAAACACACAGAAATTAAAACTCTGGTCTTACACCCTGCCAGAGGTGGCTGGGGGCGTGGGTTGTCCCTGTCCGGGTAGTGTAGAGGTCCGGACGTAACTATGTACAGTAATTCTGGGTTGTGTGTGTTTGTTGGTATTGCTGGGATGTTGGGGCCTCTGTGAAGGTGCCGGTTGTGGTGACATTCTGTCATCAAACTAATATGGTGACCAGTAATTCAATACCTTTACAAGTCAGGAAAGAGGTAACCACTTCCCCCTATCTCCATTCCTCTCTGTTCCTTCTTGGCTGTGTACTGAGCAGACCCTTAAGCAGACATGGCCTAATTTCTATCATGGTGAACTGTGAGTGGGATCTGGTGATTTTATAAGATGTAGTTGTTATTGTTAGTTAGGTTGTTGTTGCTGTTGTTGTTGGTATAGTTAGATTGTGTGTCATTATTTGTATGTTGTTGTTTTGTCTCTGAATAAATATTTGTTAAAGTAGACGGACCAGAGTTTATATGTGTATGCGTACATAATAATTTATAGAGTTTGGTAATTTACCACACCGTTCTACTGGTGTTCAGGTGTCGCTGCGGATGGGTTAGCAGGCGTCGCCGGCTCTGAGGCAGTGTGAGGCGTGGCGGTGATGATGCAGCTGATTTGGCTGCTAGGGTGTGTGTGCTGTATCGTTGGTGTGTGGCATGCGTGTGTCGGGGGGCAAGCAGGCACTTGCAATTGTCGTGTTCGTTTGGAGCTGGGGTTGAACCTAAGTTCAATATTCATTATGGGGTGTGGTGTATTGGAAGGCTGGGGGCTAGGTTCCCGGGTGGGTATGTCTTTACGACTCCAATTTAGAGCAGAATTTAAAAAAAAATAAATAATTTTTGTGTTGTTTGTTTTACCCCCCTCTCTGATGTATCCTTGCATGTGTGTGGGGGTGTGATGAGTGGCTATCGACTTTGTCTCTCTCTCGTGCATTCGGGGAGCGTTAGGTAGCCTGTGTCTCTAAGTGCTACAGTACCTCAAAACCTAACTAGTAGACATATAGCATACGACCTGGTCTATGAATGTCTTTCTTACGCCTCGTTGTGGTTTTGAGGGGCGGCAGGTAAGTAAAGTCTCAGTGTCAGGCCCCGCTTAATTTCCTGCATGTCCACAGTGGCAGTGTCCGAGAGTTACCTCTCGTTGCCGTGACTCTCTGCTCTGCGATGGTGAGGTGATGGAGCAAGTCAGCTGGGGCCTGCCGCGGTGTATCAGGAGCCTGCTGTAGTTCGCTGTTCGTGTAAGTATTTTTCGTGTTGGTTTCGTTGTTAGTCGCATAACTCCTCTGGAGGGGCCTAGCATTCGGTGTGGTTCCTTTATGTCCTCTGCGCTGGCGGAAGATCCCCTCCTCTGCCCCTTGGTGGGTGAGCGTCTTCTTTGTTCCCTTGGGAGTCGAGCCAAGGTCTGTGCTGGGTCCATGGCGTACCAGTCCATAATGCGTACCTCTGTAAGTTTCAGTGCTCTTATGAATGGCATCACGTCCTTATATTCTGCTATGATGTGGTTGGTCCCTTTGAGCGTGACAATGAGGGCTAGTGGAAAGCCCCATCGATATTTGATGTTTCTGGCACGCAGTTGGTCTGTGATAGGTTTTAGATGTCGCCTTGCCTGGAGAGTGAGCCATGAGAGGTCTTGATAAATCTGGATCTCGTGCCCATGGAACAGTAGTGGCGGATTAGTGTCTCTTAACTTCTTTAGTATTCGGTCTTTGTCTGCGAAGTAGTGTAAGCGACATATGATATCTCTTGGGGCGTCCCTGTTGTTGCTTTTAGGTCTGAGTGAACGGTGTGCTCTGTCAAAGTGGATCGGTGTTGATGGTGGTTTCTCTAATAGTAAATTAAATAACTCTTGCAGTGATGCTGGTATGTTTTCAGCCTCCTTTTCGGGCAGACCCTTTGTCTATATCATCCAGCGATCTTTGAAGCTGAGACATGTGAGTTTCATGGGCTTTTAACCAGTCTGTCAGGGTGGTAAGTTGGGTCTGTATATGTCCCCTGTCTCCCTCCAGGTCTTGGACACGGAGGCCTACCTGCTGGATTTCGGCTCCCAGACCCTCCATCTTGTGCTGGAAGGAGGATTCCAGTTTCTCCAGCATAGTGGCGAGGTCTGCCTTGGAGGGTAAGTTTTTAAGCAGGTCCTTTATGTCTTGGTCCGCAGGGGCTGCTGAGACCTCAGATGCAGCTGGACTAGGCGGGTTGGAGAGGTGTTCTCCCGCCATTGGTGCCATGTTTGCCTCCCCTTGTTCCGGCATGCGGCCGGCATAATCCTTAAAGAGTTGTGAAACCGGTCGCGGTTTCTCGGCGGGTGCCTTCCCGGTGCTTGGGTGCTCGTCCCCCTGCTGCTTTTAGTGCCTGCGGTGCCGGAGCCGAGCTAGCATGCGGCCATCTTCTTAAACGGTTGGCCACGCCCACCCCTAGGTGTTTTTAAACTAAAATTTATATTTTTATTAATTGAAAACGTATTATTTGTTTGAAGTTTTCAACTATGCTGATATAAAAAAATAGAGGCTAGTACGGAGGCAGAATTCTTCACTTTAGTGCTTTCTGAGAAACTATACAAAACTCCACTGTCTGCCGTGAGCAGTCTGCCAACAAGTGCTCCCTGCACACTACTGCAAGCAGTGTTTTTTATTATTATTAGAAAATTTTAAATTGTTTTTAAAAATGGGTTAACTAGAATTTATATTTCCATTATTTAAATTAGAAAGTACCTACAACTTCTGCTAATACTAAGGACCGGGAGACTAAGCGGCGCCTGTGTAAATTCGGTTCGCTAGCTCTCAACCTATCTTGGCTAAGTGGGAAGGCGTGTAAATTTGGAACCCACTAGACTTTTGATAGAGTAAATAGACTAGAAGGGCAATTTTGTAAATTTCGCCCTCTAGTTCGCTATATGTGGTGTTTGGGCAGTGTGGCTAACCAAAACGGGTGTATATAGTTTTAGGTAGTCCATTCAAGGTACTGGCCAATAGTTTAGTTGGGATTGTAAATGTGTTAAAGATTGTTAGTAAAGTGTATATCTTGTTAGATAGCGCGAGCTCAGCCGTCTAGCGAGAGTGTTAATAGTGTGTTGCTGTATCATAGTGCACGGTACCATAACCCTGTATATTTACTGACACTGTATATAAGTACTAATCATTGTCGTCTATTGCATGTTTAACACCGTAACCACTAATAATTGTATTGTGACCTTAAATTGTGCTTTGACCTATGCTAACCGTACTGTAACCGATACTAGTAAAAGACGATGTTACTGGGGTGTGTTATAGACGGGTAATTCATATATAGAGAATTATAGCGTGGGTGACTGTATAGTTTCGCCAAAGGGCATAATATTGATTATTTAGTGACTGGTGTAACAGCTGTGTGTGTACGGGAATTCCCTGAGTGATTATTGTGTTATTGTGTACGTTTCACTCGGTAACTGTACCACGTGGTGCTGTTGCCAGAGGAAACGGGTGTGACTGTTGAATAAGAACGCGTGCATAGTATTCGTTGTCAACGACGTTCCATTGATAAGTATGGGCGCGTCAGAGTCAACGATTTCGGATCCCTTAGGTTGTATGGTAAAGAATTTTAAAAAGGGATTCAAAACATGTGATTTTGGGGTTAAAATGTCTCCTGTACGTTTGGTCACTTTGTGCACTAGGGAGTGGCCTATTTTGGTTGCGGCATGGCCGCCGCGTGGCAGTTTGGATCCAACCCTGGTACAGCGTGTACACGTGGCTGTATCAGGTAGGCCTGAACTTTACGGACAGTTTCCATACATTGATTGTTGGGGGCAGGCCGTAAACGACTCGCCAAAATGGATCCGGATATGCCACGAGGAGCAATGTCGCCTCATGGTGGCCAGGACTTGTTAGGCCCATTTTGGACACGCCCCCTGAGTCCGAGATCCCTTTGCCGCCTCCTTACTTTCCTTTAAGAGGAAGTGACGCGAATGCAGGAAGCTCTGCACCCCTTCCCCTATTGCCCCCATCCACTTCCGCTTCCTCCTCCAGTACAGAATCCACCCCCCCTCGTATTAAAACTCCCCTTCCGGAACCAGGACCAACCCCCATTAGATTTGAATATCCTGATTTGGCGCCACTTCAAACTTCCGGTCAAGCTTCTTCTAGCTCGGCTCGGAGTATACTATTCACTAACTTTTCCCAAAATCAAGTTCCCACATCCTCATGCCCTATTACCTCTCGACCGGAACCTTTAACTGACGCCCCTCCACGTAGCCCCATACTAACCCGACAACTGACCGGTACCCAACAATTAAAACATTATCAGATGCCTCTTCGTCTGAATCCTGGGTCAGCCTATATCGATGCCGCAGGTCAAATGGCACATGCTGACCCAGTCTTCGTATATGTCCCGTTCACGACTACCGATCTCTTGAATTGGAAGACCCACAATTCCTCGTACACTGAGAAACCACAAGCTATGACCGATCTGTTCACCTCGATAGTTCAGACACATAACCCGACATGGGCTGATTGCCAGCAGTTATTAATGACATTGTTCAATAATGAGGAAAGGACAAGGATTAACCAAGCGGCCATTAAGGCGCTAGAGGAGAGAGCCCGTGCTTTAAATCAAGCCAATCCGGCAGCATGGGCCGCAACACATTACCCTAACACCGATCCTGACTGGAATGTAAATGGCGCAGATATGGCTCAACTTAAAGCCTATAGAGATGCTATAATTGCTGGCATGAAAGCCGGAGGGAAGAAAGCTATTAACATGTCGAAGACAGTTGAGGTGATTCAGAAAAGTGATGAAGCGCCCAGTGTCTTTTATGACCGATTATTGGAGGCATACCGCTTGTATACCCCCTTTAATCCGGAAGACGCTGATAATTCCCGAATGGTAAACTCCGCCTTTGTCAGCCAAGCTTACGGAGATATTAAGCGCAAGCTACAGAAATTAGAAGGGTTTGCAGGTATGTCTATCACTCAACTAATGGAGGTAGCGAACAAAGTATATATGAATAGGGAAACAGAAAGTAAGAAAGAGGAAGAGCGCAAGATGCGTAGAAAGGCAGATATGCTAGCGGTAGCGATCGCAGGCGTAGATAGACGGGGCCCAGATAGAGGCGATGGTAGATGGAATAGGGAGCCTTTGAGTAGGAATCAGTGCGCGTACTGTAAGGAAGAAGGGCATTGGAGGAACGAGTGTCCGCAAAGAGAGCAGTATGAGAGAGACTTACCCAGGGCAGGTTACGGAAACTTTAGAGGCAGAGCGAGAGGTAGAGGAGGCCCCGGAGGGAGTAATGGTAATAGAGGGAGTAATGGGAACAGAGGAAGTGTAAGGGAAGATAGGTACTATCCAGCAGCGCAAAGGTCCCGCGATAGAGAAGGTAGGGACTTTGTGGGATTGGCTGACACGGTCATGGAGGACTATTGATACCGACCGGGCTCCATCCCCCTTGGTCGAGCGGAGCCTATGGTCGATGTATCAATAGGGGGAAAAAGGAGTGCGTTTATGATCGACACTGGTGCTGAACATTCGGTGGTGACTAATCAAGTTGCTCCTCCATCTGGAAGAACTATTACTGTAATAGGAGCAACTGGAAGAAGTGCTGAAAAACCGGTTCTTAAAAGTCGACTCTGTACATTGGGAGGCCACGTAGTAAAACATCAATTCCTTTATATGCCTGAGTGTCCAGTCCAATTGCTGGGACGTGATATGCTATCCAAATTACAAGCGCAGATTACGTTCCTACCAAATGGAACAACATCCTTAAAGTTTAATGGACCCTCAGGTATTATGACATTGTCCGTACCAAAGGAAGAAGAGTGGCGACTTTATACAGTGTTGACTAGCCAAAACCCGAGGAGTGATGAATCCTTATTTAACATACCAGGAGTTTGGGCAGAGAACAACCCACCAGGACTGGCCCGCAATATTCCACCTATTAAAATCGAACTAAAACTTGGGGTTTATCCAGTAAGCCTGAGACAATATCATATTCCGCAGAAGGCTAAGAAGAACATCCAATCTTATCTGGATAAGTTCATACGGTATGGTATCCTAAAATTCTGTACTTCCCCCTGGAACACCCCATTGCTGCCTGTTCAAAAGCCCGGTACAGATGAGTATCGACCTGTGCAGGACTTGAGAGCAGTCAATGATGCGGTTGTTAGTATACATCCAGTCGTGCCCAATCCATATAACCTGCTTGCTTTAATTCCGGGCGGGGCATCAGTGCCTACAACAATTGACTCATATGCTTGGTATAAAGTGGAGGCTTCATACGGCATATAGACCCCAGAGTTCTGGTAAGGTAGAGAGAATGAATAGAACTATTAAGAATCAGTTGGCTAAAATGTGTCAGGAAACCCAACTTAAGTGGAACGTTCTCTTGCCCATAGCTCTATTGCGAATCCGTAGTACACCTACCAGAAGGATGGGCCTCTCTCCTTTTGAAATCATGTACGGGCGACCACCTCCCGTGCTTGGTAACTTAAGGGGGGATTTGAGTCAGTTGGGAGAAGGAATTACCCGGCAGCAGGTTGTAGAGTTGGGTAAGACTATGGAGGAGGTACAGAAATGGGTACAAGATAGATTACCTGTGAATATTTATCCCCCAATTCATAGTTACCACCCAGGCGACCAAGTGTGGATTAAAGAGTGGAATAATGTGCCGTTAGGGCCCAAGTGGAGAGGTCCTTATGTTGTTCTTCTGTCTACCCCTACAGCGATAAAAGTAGCCGAAGTGGCTCCGTGGATACATCACTCCAGGGTTAAACCAGCAGCAGCCGATTCCTGGCAAGTTACAGCAAATCCAGAGAATCCCTGCAAGATCCGGTTAAAACGCACGACTCAGTCGGAGTGACGAGGAACCTTGTAGATTACAAATTTTATTGTTTCAGAGACTTGGTAAGTGAGTGAGAAGGCCATAATAAAGCCTGTCCACTCACCAACGAGTGTATAAGTCAGGGAAAGTCTTGAGGGGACCCCTGTGAAGACGAGCAGAACTCCATTCCCTGCAGTCCTTACATCCTGGAAGCTGAGGTGCCTTCACACGGACGAAGACTGAGGATGACGACGAAAGATGTATTTTTAATAATGTTTATTTATGTGTATTTTTATATTCAGGAAGGTAGAGGTACCAACACTCCTAGCTGTGAGGTATGCATTAAGACTACAAGAACAGGTAACCATATATCCCAGACCCTAATTTGGCATTCGCAATATGAGTGTAAAGGAGATGTATCAAGATGTAGATACTTAAATATAGAATATAGTGTGTGTCATTTAGGAGTAGGAGAACCTAAGTGCTTCAGTCCTGAGTATCAACCCCGTACAATTTGGTTGACTCTCAGAAATGGAGATTCTCAGGGGACCCTAATTAATAAGACGGTATTAAAATCCGTATATTCTTCAGGTGCTCTGCTATTTGATGCGTGTAAAGCAATATCAAGTGGTAGAAAGCCGTGGAATGTATGTGGGGATCTTAGATGGGAGAGGACGTATGGGTCTAACGATAAATATATTTGTCCCAGTAGTAAAAATAAATATGTAAGTCCAAGATGCCCAAATAGAGATTATAACTTCTGCCCATATTGGTCTTGTGTGGGGTGGGCGACTTGGGGACAGACAGCAGACAAGGACATGATTGTGACTAAGTTGCCTACTAATCCATATTGTAAGTCTATGGAATGCAATCCAATCCATATACTTATAAATAACCCTGACAAGTTCTTAGATAAATATGGTAATTTATTTGGGTTTCAAATATATGGGACGGGTTTAGACCCTGGGACAATATTGTTTATAGGGATAGAGTCTGATACGGTAACCTCCCAAACTCATCAAGTATACCATTCCTTTTATGAAGAGATGAGCATAGATAATAAGATCCCCCATAATGCTAAAAACTTGTTCATTGATTTAGCCGAGAGTATTGCCGGTAGTCTTAATGTTACCAACTGCTATGTGTGTGGAGGTACTAACATGGGAGACCAATGGCCTTGGGAAGCAAAGGAGGTAATGTCCGGTTCTGAGGCAGTTGACCAATTAATATCTACACAAGCCGACTATCATATGAGTGTTAGAGGTAAATCTGAGTGGAGATTGAAGACCTCCATCATAGGTTATGTTTGCATAGCGAGGAAAGGAATGATGTATAATACTTCTGTAGGAGAATTAACTTGTCTAGGGCAAAAAGCTTATGATGATGATACAAAGAATACAACTTGGTGGTCGGCTTCAAATGTCTCAGAACCATCTAACCCGCTTGCAAGATATGCCAATTTAAAGGACGTATGGTTTGATCTATCCATCACATCTAACTGGAGAGCCCCAGCGAATTTGTACTGGATCTGTGGTAAGAAGGCCTATTCGGAGTTACCACAGGACTGGGAAGGGGCATGTGTGTTGGGTATGTTAAAACCATCCTTCTTCTTGTTGCCTATTGAAACAGGTGAGACTTTAGGTGTTAAAGTGTATGATGTGAATCATAGGAAGAAAAGGGGACCCATAGAGATAGGTGCCTGGGAAGATAATGAATGGCCTCCCCAGCGTATTATAGATTATTATGGGCCAGCCACGTGGGCAGAGGATGGTACCTTTGGTTATAGAACCCCTATTTATATGCTCAACCGCATTATAAGGTTACAGGCGGTGGTTGAGATCATTACTAACGAGACATCACAAGCGCTCAATCTTCTAGCGAAGCATAATACCAGGATGAGGACAGCAGTTTACCAAAATAGATTAGCCTTGGATTATCTTTTGGCAGTAGAGGGAGGTGTATGTGGGAAGTTTAACCTGAGCAATTGCTGTCTTCAAATAGATGACGAAGGGCAAGCAATAGCTGAGCTTACTAGCCATATGGTTAAACTAGCGCATGTGCCTACTCAGGTATGGAAAGGGTACAATCCAAGTAGCTGGTTTGGTAGCTGGTATGAGTGGTTTGGAGGGCTTAAGGCAGTGGTAGGTGGAGTCCTACTGATTTTAATGTTGTGTCTACTCCTGCCGTGTCTTATACCCTTAGTAGTTAGGTCTGTGCAAAGCCTGATAGAAAATATAGCAGAGAGGAAGGCTGCTGCACAGATAATGGCAATTTATAAATATAAGGCTCTAGATCAGGGAGAACCAATGCAGGAAGACGAGTGTTGAAGATTCACATCATAGGATAAGTCTGGTCTGTTCAAAGGTAACTTGTGGTGTATGCAAACCAAGGTTAAGTGATGCCTCAAGTAATTGTAAAATATCAAGAGGCATCAAAGGGGGGAATGTGGTGGAATCTCGGTAAAAATAAATTTAGTAGGCCGAGATTACCACGTGGCATGTGTACGTGCATATGCTGACGTATCGATCAGTTGGTTGCACGAGGCAAGATACGATCAGTAGTGTACGGAGCATGTGCAAGAATACAGGATGTAGTATTCCCCTCCTCCATTGTGCTGGACAAGCCATGCGGTCAAGCAGGAAGTTAATTCTTATTTGTAATGATTGGTCAAGAGAATGTGCGGGTGGAGCTTAATATGGGAGGAGTTATGTGCCTATATAGGGAGCCTGCACCATTGTTCAGGGCTCAGAACTTGCTGTATTTTTGGTGACATTAGTCCCTCTGAGTCCCGATCGGTGATCCAATAAAGAATCTCTTCCTTCCTGAAGAAAACTGTGTCCATCCCTCTGTGCTTTGCTTCCGTCAGTTTCTCCGGTATCATTCTGTTCTAACAAAGCACAAATAAACTGTACTACAACAAATATTATATATTTTAAACTGAAGATAATTCTATTAACTTAATACAAAAATATTTCTTAACATTTACACTGACTGCCAGATTAAGAGCCCAGTGGACCTGGTGCTGACAATTATGATGGGCCTAATTACAAAATCTTATCGACCAAAAACACTAAAAAAGTCATACCTACCAACAGTGGCGGCTCTAGACTTTATGAGGCCTTAGGCGAAACTCAAACAAGAGGCCCCTCCCACTAACACTCATAGTAAAAAAAACATATAGGGGTTGCATCGTGTGTATAATGAGCTTTTATAACGTATGACAGGCTTGCAGCGCTGGATACAGAGAGCTAGTCTCTGTATTCACTGTTGGGGTGAGTGTGGCACGGTTGAAGGGGAGTGTGACAGTATGAGAGAAAATGAGTGTGATAGGATTAGGGGGATTAATGTGATAGGGTGAGTGTAGAAGAGCGAGGGCCGGTAATTGTGGTATGGATGGACAGGGTGAGAGCGACAAGATTAGGAGAGGTTAATGTGAGCAAGGCTGGGTGAAGGGGGCATGACAGCATGTGGGGGTGACAGTGTGGGTGGTGGCTGTATGTGTGTGGAATTGTGACGGTGGGTAGGTGAGAGTGTGGGAGGCAGTGTTGGGAAGGGTGACAGTGTGTGCAGGGGCAGTGTGTGGGAGGGGTGTATGTGTACCACTGTATGTATTGGTGACAGTGTTGGGGGCTGACAATATGGGGTGCAAGTGTGTGAAAAGGTAACAGGGTGAGAGAGTAGTGTGGAGGAATGTGACAGTTTTGGGGGCAGGATGTGAGTGGGTGACAGTCTGCCCTAAGGCGATTTAGGCGGCCACGAGGCCCCAGCAAGCGCGAGGCCTTAGGCGGCTGCCTAAATCGCCTAATTAGAGAGCCTCCTCTGCCTACCAATCGTCATGTATCTGGTCGGAAGTGGAGCTAAAGGGAAACTCATAGGATGCAGCTATGAGAAAACACACACTATGTTAATCTCTCTCTAATTTATGCTTTCATCTTTCAAGTAAATCCATACCCCTAACAGCAGTGTCTAGTGAAGCAGGCAGTCAATGGATGGGGTTAAAAGGGTGGGCCACTGACGCAAATCATGTAATCAGAACTGCCGAAAGAGGCGAATATGCCTTAAAAAGGGGGCGTTTCTGCCTAAAGAATTGGCAGGCCAGCCTGGCATGAATGCATTTCGGGCCTCCTGCCAATCATGCAGGCTGGCCAACTAAGGGCATGCTATGCAGACAGCACCCTGAGCTTGGCATAAATGCTTCTAATGATGAGTTTGCTCCACGCTTTCTAAGGACTGTCCCCTAGCACTCGCTGGTCCATTCCTCTCCTAACCTCTTTACTAGCAGGCAGAAGCTCCTGGTATATAGTCTGGGACAGAGGAAAGCTGTATGTAGTGAGTGTAGAAGAAAGGGAACATGCCACAGTGTTAGAGAGACTGAATGAGCAAGAGTATTTGCATAGTGAGCAAAATCAGCTTTACCTTAACTAATTTCATTGTCAGCCAGTCCACACAAGTTTTGTCCCCATACATCCCTCTAAAGTTTCCATGCTTAAGCAAGAGTATGTGAAGGATAGTTAGGGTTGCTACCTTTCTTGGAAAAAAATACCGGCATAATTAATTATGTATGCGTGTAAATCACAAGGAGTGACCTAAGAGAGAATTCTGTAAAATCACCAGAAAACTACTTACATTTATTCTGCTGAATAAAAGATGGATTGTTCCCAGTGTCTCCCTGTCTTCCAATGTCTTAGTGTCCCCTAGTCTCCCATTATCCCCTAGTGTCTGTGTCCCCTATGTATTACAGTGCCCCGTGTGTCCCAGTGTCCCCATTTCTCAGTGTCTTCTACGTATGACAGTGTCCCTATGTATCACAATGTCTCAATACCCCATGTCTCCCAGTGCCCCCTCATGTCCCTTGGACACTAGGGGACACTTAAGAGACATGGGAACACTGTGAGACATTGGGACACTAGGGGACAATGGGACACACTGAGACATAAGGACACTGGGAGACATGTGGACACAGACACTAGGGAAACTGGTTGGGAGTTATGGAGACACTGAGAGACTTGGGGACATTGGGAGACATGAGGACACAGACGCTAGGGACACAGTGTCCCCATGTCTCCCAGTGTCTCACAGCATCCCTCAGTGTCCCCAAGTGTCTCAGTGTTCCCAGTTTACCCAGTGTCCCCTAGTGTCTCCAAGTGTCCCCATGTCTCCCTGCAGCCTTTACTCCATCCCTCACTTCTCTGAGCTGTAGGCTGTCTCTGCAGGCTGGGAGCTGCTGTCTGGACTCTACGTGCTGTGTAGCTGCTCCCCCACAGATCAATGAGTAGAGAGAGGCAGGGAGATGCTGTAACTTCCTATCCCTGCCTCTCTCCACACACAATGACTACTGGCCGGCGCAGGTATCGCAGAGTAATCTCTGTTTATACATAGAAATATGCCGGCATTTGTATTGCCGGTGTAACCGACCGTTTTTCCCACAAGAGGTTAAAAACCGTTTAGGCGATATTCCCCTTTCAGATGCACAGACAGCTATTGCAATCACCAATCTCCCGAACTGCAAACTACACGAATTCTCCAACTCCCGAACAGGAAACTCACGAATACTGGAAACAGCCGAACAGGAAAAACCATACGAAAGGTTTACACTCCTGGCAGTCAGCATACAATCCAATTCCCCCAATAACGAGACAACACTTCGTTTTGAGGGTTAAGCAGAATCTGACTGTACTGGCACATACAGCCTCTTTTATTCACAATCCACAAACATAGTACTGCCCACAGGGTTTTTGAAAACAACCATTAAACACGTACAATACACTCAGACACTCCCACACAAAATCCTCCCCTCTGCCTGTGATACAATTGCCTTACACAATGGGTAATGTAATTATCACCGGCAGAGAAATACAGTTTCATAAAACACATCACAGGGACCCCAAAACATGCAATAACCCCATTCCACAGAACATATGCAGGCTATATGAAAAACAATTACTGTATAATGTGTCCCCTGTTGTATAGTCCAAAACCACTGCACGAGGTCTCTGTGCATCAAATACCGGCGAGATGGCACCGTGTTGAAAAGTCCAAACAGTGTCTGTGAGTTAAAATGGCTGCCATCCATTGTTCTCACCATGTGCTTCATCCATTGTTCATCATTACAGTCTTTCCCATTGCCTCTGATACAGGAAATGGTGGCCACCCAGTAACTCCACAGTATGTCCCCAGATGGTTCTTAAAGGGCCAGCAGCAGCACAACACCCAAAATGCCCAAATCATGTCTTTAAAGGGCAATACATCCCAAGGGCCATAGTCACATGGCAGGAGGTTGCCAATCAGTCTTCTCCAATGCCCAGTGGTGAGGTCGGTTTTGCCACAGCCGGTTTTACTGCAATACTGGCACTGGCCAGGCAGCCTGAAATACCATAAAATACCAGTCAGGTGGCAACCCTAAGGGTAATGTGTTAAAAAAAATTGTTAATCCGGCCCTGGATGTGCACTCGCATTGAGAGGCGAGGTCTGCTGAGCTGATGGACCGGCGGCTTTATGTAACTACGTGGTAACGGTGTCCTTGGGAAAGGTGACGGAGACAACTGCGAAAACTATTAGCAAGCTGAAACAATATATAGCATTAACAGAGATCCCACAATAAGAAATGGAAATATGAAAATAAAAGGAGGCAGAGTCTAGGAGTATGAACATTGAAGAGAGAGTGGAGGCTTAGTCGATAGCAGAAACGTGTAAAGCAAGGTGCCACAGATTCCCAGTAAACCGGCTGTTACGATCCAGCAAAAAAGCATACAGAAAGCCAACGAAAGTATGGTAATTTACTAACAAGGAGATACTAACCCTCATTTATTAAGGTGAACTGTACATATACCCAGTGAAATAATGGCTAAACAATTGAAAATTTCCTATATAGTTGTAATGGCACCCTCAGGCATAAAAGGGTTAAACCGCCGTTTAGTAGATCTTCCCCTTCCAGAGACACAGGCACAGCTACTGCAGAACACCAATCTGCCGAACAGGAAACCATACGAATGCTGTAAACAGCCGAATAGGAAAAACCATATGAATAGGTTTACACTCCTAGCAGTCAAACTGGAACAGCATACAGTAAATCCCCCCAAGAACGAGACAAAGCTCCGTGTTGAGGGTCAAGCAGTGAACAGACAGAGCTGTAGGTTTATTGTGCTTATGTACACATTCTTACACATTAGTACCACCCACAGGGTTTGGAAAAAAACAATAAACACATACAATACACTCAGACTCTCCCACACAAAATCCTCCCCTCTGCCTGTAATACAATTACCTTACACAATGGGTAATGTAATTATCACAAGCAGAGAAATACAATTTTTCCACATTATTCATAACTTGAAAAGTATGCATCACATTCGCATAAAGCTTACATTTTCAGAATCAGCATACTCCAAATACAAACATACGTCAAATTCATACAAATTGGTCCAATGGTTCAAAAGATAGATCGTAGTCCTTTGTGACCAAAGGAAGCATGGCTTTTCTGCCCAAAACCAGTTCCACAGAGTCTTCTATCATGGAGATAATTGGGAAGTAATCCAATTATCTCCAAAGGACAGAGGCAAAACTCCATTGAACACATGGCAGCAAAAGACAATAAAACACATAAAAACATATAACTGTGCAGCCCATTGTACAAAACAGGTACATTCAACATATCCCCAGATAGCTCAGATCTGAGCGCACATTATTACTGAATGGCGCTCAGAGCACACACATACAGTTCAATTGCCATGGAGCCAAAGTCTTTCCCATAGCCTTTCATTATACGAATGGGCTCCATGGCATAGCTATCTGGGGTATCACCGCTCAAACAAGGCAAGCACCAAATGACCCGGCTTTCATGTCTTTGCAGGGGAAAATCAAGCCTTTTAACATGGGGCCATAATCCAAAGGCAACATGGCTTCTCCAATGCAATGTGGCGAGATTGGTCTCGTCACGATAGTGCTTTAAGTGGAGATAAACTAAATAGAAATAAAATAATAAATAAGGCAGAAGGAAAATACAAATGTTTCAGCTCAATACTGGTCTGCTCCTTCTTACTCCTAATATTCTGTTCAACCGTCAAGTATATCAGATAAAAGGCAATAATGAAACAACAATGATATGAGATTGTGACAGACCCATCTGTCTGCTTATTTCAGGTGTATTCGTCTGTTTTCATCCTGTTCGTATGAATGGCTGTTTTCTATAGCCCAGCCATTCGAATGACTGTTTTTCCCGAACAAACCAGCCGAACGGACGGCCACCCAGGAGAGAAGTGTGCTGCTGGTTAACCTATTGATCCCAATTAGAACGTTGTGGTTAACCGCAAGCCCAGCGGTGTTCGGCTCTATTTTCATGGAACTAAAAACGGACACTTTTTCTGCCGAACACCGCTGAAACAACGGAACGCCGGACTGCCTCCACGAAAACATACGAATACCGGCTGTTCGGGTGTTTTGGAAGCATACGAAAGGACTTAACCCAGATAGCCTTCCCATGGAGTCATTCATATACCGAAAGACTGTAAGAACTTTGACTCCATGGTGATTGAACTGTGTGTGGGATCTGAGCACTATTCGCTAATAATATGCACTCAGATCCAGGCTATCTGGGGATATGTGATACGAATGCAGAATGTTCGGTTATTGTAAAATTATGTATTTTTATGTCTTTTTGGGTTTTATGTTTAAAATGGTGACTGGCTTTGTCCTGGAGATAATTGAGTTACTTGGTAATTATCTCCAGGGCAGAGGGGAGGGAATCATAGTGCATTGTGGGTAAAAACTGTGTCTATGTGTCTGGAATGTCCCCATATCTGTCTGTCATTTAAGTCTCCCATTTGGTCCCCTAGGGGAGTGTCCACCAAGTGGGAGACCTGCATAAATACGGGCAGGTAGCCCACAGTAAAGCCAGATCCTGTTTGACCCTCAATGCGGAGCTTCTGTCTCGTTATTGGGGGGATTTCTTCCTTTACGTTTAGAGACTGCTGGATGGAAACGAAAACCGCTTGGTGGATGTTATTGTTCGGGGGCTAGCAGCAGTTCGTGTATTGCTGTTCGGGAGTTTGGAGCCGTTCATGGATCCCGGTCGGGAGATTGCCGCTTCCCCTGCATTTGGTTCGTGCAATAGAGGTTATGCGAACGGAGCTTATTGATATTACGGGGACGATCGACTAAACGGCGGTTTTGCTTAAAGACACGGGAGGTGTCTTAACAGAGATCTTGAAGGTGGTGGTGATTACCTGTGAGCAAAAAGAAGGAAAAATAAAAAAAATAATTGATTAAAACAGTGATAATATAGTTACTGTGTAAGATTGTGGTGATTCGGCTGATGAAAGTTGGGTATAGAAAAAGGGAAAGAAGAGACAAAAGGAAGAAAAAGAAGAAATAAAATACCTTAGATTATTCTATATGGTCTTTAAATGGTTTTTAATTACTTTTATCATTCTCATCAAATGATAAAAAGTATAAAGAACTATCTATTCAACAACAACCTAACAAACATTGGAAGGTGGTGGAGATTATCAGTGATTAAAAAAGAAAGGCAAAAGAAATCGAACTAAGAAATAAGTGATAAAATTGCTACTGCAAAAATGGACAATAAACAAGATAAAGGAGTTTCAGCATTTTATTCCCCCCAATCAAATAAATCTGGTGTAGATAGCTCGACTATGGAAGAATCAGCAATGGAAGATTGGAGAAATTCTATGTCTGACTTCAATCAATCTAGGAAGTCAAACGGAATTTTTTTTTTTTTTTTTAAAAAGGAGATTCAATGAATTTTAAACCAACTAAAACAACAAATAGAATAATTAGCAATGAAATTTGGATAAAAGAAAATAATATATAAAGAAGTGGATTCATCAAGTACTTAATTGTAAAGGGTGAAGGGACGGTTAAAAAGGGAAAAATAAATTATTTTTTGGGTGTTCACATGGAGGAAAAAAAGAAGATATTTGGACTCTAATGGGGGACACAAAAAAAAGGGAGAATTTTTTTAAGGTATAGGTTATGAATTTTGGAAAAATAGACGAGTGGGTGCTGGATATGTATACAACACAAATAAGAGAAATGTATATATTATAACCTAAAGATATGTAGTTAAATAAGAAATGGTTAATGTCACTGAGAGATGTAAACAAAAATATGTCACAGTCAAAATAAGAATGAGATCAATAATTTGATAATTTGTAGGAAAAGAATTATAACACTTTATAAAATATAGATCTATAGTCAAATTGCAGTGTTTAGTATCACCAAGAGAGGTAAATTAAAGGGTATGTCACAGTTATAATTAGAATGAGATTGTTAATATTATTTGTATATTATTAGTGATTATTCTGTATGAGAGGAATTTTTCTCTCTATCTTACAAAAATGTTCCAAAGAGAAGGAACCAAAAAGTGTTGGATAACCCCTAGGAATTAGAGCATTGGGATTACCACTCTACACTTATCCTAGCAGTAATAAAGGATTTTCCCAAATAAATCAGCATTGGTTATATGTGAGGGTATGGTCTCTTAGATTCCCTTTGTATGTGTTGTTCACAAATTTAATTAGGTGTTATTTTGGGATTTCCTAACTTTAATTGTATGCTCCAATTCCTAAGCGTTATCCAACACTTTTTGGTTCCTTCTCTTTGGAACATTTTTGTACTCACTATTAGGGCCACGCCCTTACAAGTTGGATCATCCCCTTTTAAGAGACCTTATTCTCTTTTTTTTTTCTTCTCATTTTTCTCTATCTTCCCTCTCCCAATAACTAATTAAAGGAAAGATAAAGTAGGTAATCTAATGAGGAATGAAAAGGGAAAAAAGGCCATAGCAAACAGTAAATAAGGACAAGATAGAGGATAATTGAAGGAAGGAAAATTCAAGATAGAAAATAGAAATATAAGTGCTCTATATAAATGTTTCCTCTTCTCTTTTAATCGCCGACCGCCCTTCTCTAGAAGCATCCTTATAATATTGTGATTGATAAAATGGATGAAATAGAGCAATATAAAATAGAGAGAAGATAGTCACCAGGTTACGTCAGCTCTTTGCAATATCCCTGCTTGGAGATCTGTTAGAGGATATCAGTATAAACGCTATGAAAAATAGTGTCAAGAGATTAGTGGTAAGGGTATTATGGGGCCCTCATCATCTAATTAGGGATGTATGTGGTTACCCTAGGTATATAGGGGAACTTATGTGTTGTGTTAAGGAATTTTATGTTTATTTTGAGAGGAGGACTGAGCTCATGAGAGAGAGTTAAAATGAGGAAAAATATATATGAAGTGCATTTCTATGAATGCTCAGGTACTCAATGCCCCATTTATAAGAAAGCTTTTATACGGATTACTTAAACGAGAATATAGATATTGCTCTGTTACATGAGACCCATTGGAAAAGGGGAAGAGAAGATCAGATGAGATATGAGTCATATGAGGAGGTTATACATGCATTTCTCTTGGGGAGGAAAAAAGTGGAGTTGCTATTGTTTTTTCTAAAACACTTCAGAGAGAGACAATATACTCAAGCTGGATAATGAGGGAAGATATAAAATTCTCATATGTAAACTAAACTCTCAAGTATACACCCTTGTTAATATTTATTTGCCAAATTTGTTGCCCACTAAATACCTTAAGAAAATAATGGAAAAAGTAGAAAAATTCAAAATGGGAACATTAGTCATAGCCGGAGACTTTAACTGTGTTTCGGATAGAATATTAGACAAAAAGATTAAGGACAATCGTAATGTGAATAATCAAATAATAAAAAACAATGTATTATCTTAAGAAATATTATGAAAGAAAATAATTTATTAGATATTTGGAGAGTTTATCATACAATGGAAAATGAATATACACATTTACCCAGGGTACACCATTCTTATTCAAGAATTGACTAGATTTTAGGGGAGAACAGTTTAGTAGAACAAACTAAAACAATTCTGATAAAGGATAATCCATGGGCAGATCATAACTATATTTTCTTTGTTTTAAAGGATATGAAAATGTATAAACCGTTTAGCACTTGGCGTTTAGATGATAGTATACTAGATAAAAAAGGAGAAACAAGACTATATCAAAAATCTTATAAAATTATATTTTAAGTAAATAGCACAAAAGATATGGGGTGCTTTTAAGGCTGTGTCAAGAGGATATTTGATAAAACTTAAACGTAAGATAAATAAACAAAAAGGCACCTTTAGAGCGGAGTTATATATAGAATATTATAAATTATCTAGAAAAAACAAAAATCAGCTGACGGATGAAACGTTAAATCAATTAAGTGAATTAAAAAAAGAAAATAAACTCCATAGAACTAGAAAGAATGAATAAAAAATTTGGAGAGGTTGAAAGTACATTTTTATGGGGGTGCGGGGCCTAACTGTCATGGAGGACAGAAGTGTTTCACAGGAGCTCCTCCACAATCCTGGCATCGAAGGCAAAACACGGCCTCATTCAGACTAATTTCGGGACCACCTTGAGCCCACACCGAAGCCTGACACTGCAGGGCAAGGTAGTAGGGGTCGGTGACCCAATGAAAACTGAGCAGCCATACTTGCGACAGCATGTGGCCTTGTGTGCACCGGGCGGGGGAGGCGGCCGCTCTCCCATTCCGGGGCTACCCAGCGACTGCAATGGCGGGGCAGGCATCCCGTTACCCCCCCCGGGACTGTTGGGGGTGAACACGGTCCAACCCAGGAGAGCTACACCCAGTAGAGGAGAGGTGAAGGTGAAGTCTGGCAGGCAAGCGAATAACATTACTACCGACTCATTCCTAACGGCGGACACCTCGTGCCTCCCTTGCACCCACGCTCACAATGCAGAGACCACGCTCCAAACGAAGCTAGAGGCTATCCTGGCGGCATTCTGGCATAAGCTGGAGAGACGGGCACTGCAACAAGCCCCACCACAGGCAAGCGGCCCCTCACCTACACGACGCATGTCACGAACGAGGAAAACACCCGGGGCCCCCACAGGGAAGAGGATCCCATGGAGAAGGCAGACCAAGCCCAAAACATCACCCCGGCATAAGCAGCGGCACAACCAAAGTCAGTCACGCATGAGACATACATTTGCGCCTCGTCGAGGGTCTCCTGTTCTCCTGGCAGTCAACATCCGGGGCACCGTCCGGCCCCACAAGACGAGACCGGAGCCTGGAGGCTTGAAATACTTCACTAAGCTGCCCAACAGCGAGATACCCATGACGGGAGTCGGCTGAAAACAGACCAGGAGCCAGGGGTGCTGGGACTTCCTCTTAAATGTATGTGCCCCTCTCAAACACACAACGCATAAGGATGACCCAAATCTTAACTTTGCTTTATAGTTTTGTCATAGTAGCCTCCCTGCTTCAAGGACTTGATCTGAGAGGGAGCCTCCTGGGACATTTGAATCACCTGCTAGCCTAGGCTCAGAGACCTAACTTGAGCATACTCTTTAAGCATATGACTGCATCACATTTCAATGTTAGTTAATGTAGCTCATTGAGGTATATACGGCATGTTGTTAATCCCATACATAATTCAATAAACCTGATTATAATGCCTACACAAATTGTACACTAGCTTAGTAAATTAAGCATAGTTAAACGTTGAAGGTCTCACTTACTCTGATGACATACTCACTTATTCTACTTATATTCCTGTCTAGTATTATGTTCAAAACGACGACACACCATTTGTTATCTAACTTAACTTAACTGTACAGCATGAAGCACACATAAAACAAAACTTGTGCACGCACTTTCAACGCCATGTTACTGTTACCACATGTATCAAACTGCATTGTTTGCCCGCTGTTGTGGCGCTGCATGCTTAATATGTTCACTCTTTGCACGACTAAAATAAAGAATTAAAAAAAAAAAAAAGAAAGTACATTTTTATTATGACAATAGGATTTCAACATGGTTCACAAAAAAATTAAAAAGGAGGGAAAGGAAAAATAGAATAATATGTATTGAGAAAGATAAAATAAAATATAGGAATCCAGAAAAAATAGCTAAGGTCTTTCAAGAATATTATTTTGATTTATATAACATATCAAATCGACTTGATGAACAGGGGTAAATTAGCTATCTGAAAGAAATTAATCTTCCCTAAATCACACAAGAGCAAAATATAGTCTTAAATTCTCTCCTAACTAAATTAGAATTCAAACAGGTTATCTATTGTATAAAGATCTATTGAGTGAATATTTAACAAACACATTTAATGGGATTGTTAATAAAGGTGCGGGACCAAGGGAATTGTTGTATGCGAATATACTGCCAATTTTGAAGAAAGATAAAAATCCACAAGAAATTAAAAAAGATAGTCCGATTTCTTTGATAAACATGGATTCGAAGCCGTTTTAAGCAATTTTGGCAGAAAGGATAAAGGGAGTGCTTTCTAGTTTAATTCATAAAGATCAGATTGGTTTCGTCCCTAATAGACAAGCAAGTCTCAATACTAGACGCCTAATTAATATATTGGATTGGGGGGAGAGTAATGGTTGTCCCCTGTTGACTCTGTTATTGTATGCAGAGAAGGCTTTTGACAGGGTCGGCTGGGGATTTTTGTTTAAAGTTCTAAATCCTTTGTTTTTTGCGCATGGATGTTATCAGCAATAAGATCATTATATATGTCCCTGTAACTTCTGTTAAACACTTATAGATGAGAAATTGTATAGAAACTTTATAACTGAATATAGAGAAACCAGCGGCAATGTTTAAGAATTGTGATGAAAAAATGAAACAACAAATTATGAACTCTTATAGGTTTACTGAAGTAGAAAAGAGCTTTGTTTATCTGGGGATTTTGCTTGCCAACAAGGTAGAAAGAATAATGGAAGTTAATTTTTTGAGAACCATTGGATCAACTAATTGCACTTTAAAAAAATGGGATAATTTAATGATGAGCTGGTTAGGTAGAATCAATATGATAAATGCCTATGTTCTCCCCATATGGACTTATCTTTTTAAGATGTTACCCTTGAAAATACCTGATCGTTGGCTGGAACTTATCCAAAGAAGTTTTCGAAATTTTGTATGGAGCGGGAAAAAACCTCGGATTAGATTAAATTACTTGAGTAATAACCCAAGCCAGGGCAGAGTAAATTTCCCAAATATGAAAAAACATTATGAGGCTAGTATAGTTTATCATATACAAACTCTAACTAAAAAGGAGATGAGGGAACCAGGATGTTTTTGATTAGAAACAAACCAATTGAATATAAAACATCTGAACAAAATTATTTGGCAAGAAACCTGGTATGGAAAATTAAAAGTAATAAATAACAAATATTTGACTCACATTATTCCAACATGGTTTAAGATTTAAAAAAAAAAAAAACTATGCAGTGTAATGGAAAAATATATGGTTTTATGGAACTGGAGATTTTGGAATCTCTCATAGATGATATAAATATAGATAAATGGAAAGATAGAAATATTATGGTAATAGATAATTTGATGCAGGGGAAAATTAAGCCGTTTGCATCTTTTTGATCCAATGGCAATTTCTGTACTGTATGGGCAGAAGTATTTATCAAATTAAATAAAAATATTCATGGTCCATCTTTAAGAGAAACTTTTTATAAAATATCTAATAGATGGTAAATTGTACCAATGAGAATGAACAGAGTAGACCCCAATGCTTCAAAGATGTGTCGGAGATGTACGGAAGTGGTAGGCAGTTATTTACATACATGATGGAACTGTCCGATAATTAAAAAACTTTGGGATCAGATATATACATATGTGTACAGATTTGATACGATTAAAATTGATAAAAAATCCCCAGGTAGTATTATTACATTTAGGTTGGCCAATCTTGAAACCATATCAATTTTATTTGGTTGTGCATTGCTCTATGGCTATTATAATGTGTGAGGTTCTGTTTTGACAATGTATTTGTAAAGTCTATTTTTGTATGTACAGGTGATACTCGAAAAATTAGAATATCAGGCAAAAGTTCATTTATTTCAGTAATGCAACGTAAAAGGGGAAACTAATATATGAGTGTGAAGAAAATAAACTAAGTTCAGTATTTTCTCCTATGTTCGGGCTTTTCTGCAGTATTTTGTTCAATTGGGATCTATTAGTTCGGTAGTTTAAAACTACCGAACACCGACCACCCTCCTGGCTCATTAACTTCAAAAGAACCATCTATTAAGCGCTCTCTGGGCGGCCACTGTTCGTATAGCCGAATGCCATGTAGAACAGAAAACGGCGGCCATCTTGTTTGCACGAAAGGAGGCAGCGGGATTTGGTCATCGAGTGTCTGGAACTAAAAACGGACACTCGACCTCCTGAACCACTACTGAAACTACCGAACGCCTGCTTCCTTTAGTTGCCGAACAGCCAGGAGAGCGCCATTTGGTAGTTCGGTTCATAGGAACAAGGGGAGCAATCGCTCCTATGAGCCAGGAGGATCCATTCTGGACTTTTATTCATTTTATGCCTTTTTCTGAATTGACCGACCACACACGCTGAATTCGTCTAACTGTTTTGGGCAGGAGCCTTGTGTGTGGTCGGTAACCTGTGACTTCCATATTTTTTAAGAACCCCTGAACCGATCTGGGTGAAATTTGGATATGTTGGTCCCCCAGATCGGGGCTATCAGGGGATAATTTGTGGGGATACTTTGTGTGGAAAGGGGTGTTCTAATTTTTTGAAAATTGTGTGCCCTCTGCCTGGAGATAATTGGGTTAACTTATCTTAATATCTACCAGGCAGAGAGAGGGCGGGGGTTACTGTAAATCTGTATGTTGATTGGTTATTGTCTTTGTTTACTGTGGGAGGTCTTCTTGGAGGAGGATTTCTCATAAAAGCCAGTGTGGCATCAATAAACTTAATTCCGGTTACACCCTTCATGAAGTCTAGGCTCATGTTTGGGGAATATTCTACTTGCTGGGGAGAATCATCTTGGAAGCTGCATTCATCTACACTATTCCTCTACCTCCTAACTGCAGTTATAATCACTTATGCTCAGCTATTGGGAAAGGAATAGAAGACCGCAGTACCACAACCACTGCAGGTCTTAACAATGAGATAGACGCATTACATGCAAAGCAAGATAGTTCAAGCCGTGATTTGTCATCAGTGCGATGATGACAGCAGTCTTCCCCATGATTGTGATTCCTACTGAACCAGACTGAAATACTATTTAAAGGCTCAGAAAACCCTTTGCAGGTGTTATGGCTTACTTAGCTGATTAGAGTGGGATACTGTGAGACTAGAATATTGCACCTTTTCACCATTTTCTAATTTACTGAGATTGTGGATTTGGGGTTTTCATGAGCTGTAAGCCATAATCATCGTATTTATGACAAGTCACGGCTTGAACTATCTTGCTTTGTATGTAATGCGTCTATCTCATATATTAGTTTCCCCTTTTACGTTGCATTACTGAAATAAATGAACTTGCACGATATTCAAATTTTTCGAGTATCACCTGTATCTTTTGTATTATAAGAATGAAAAAGAAAAAAGAAACAGCACTGCAGCAACAGCAGCACCTCTGTGAGATCAATGTCTAACAAAAATTAACTTAATATAAATTAACTATATTTATTTTCTTCTGGCTAACAAACTAGTCTACCCCTAGGGCAGAAGCCCTCAAGTCCACTAGGCTAGTGCAAGTTCTTGATTGATTGATTCTACTTTTACTCTAAATCAATTTAAAGGACCACTATAGGCACCCAGACCACTTCAGCTTAATGAAGTGGTCTATGTACCAGGTCCAGCTAGGTTTAACCTTTTTTTCCTATAAATATAGCAGTTTCAGAGAAACTGATATGTTTATAATAGGGTTAATCCAGCCTCTATCTGCTGTCTCATTGACAGCCGCTAGAGGCACTTCTCACTGGCGCTGGAGAAAGAGGTAAATGTTACCCCTTCCACCCCCTAGAGCTCGGCGGGAGGGGGGCCCTGAGGGTGGGGGCACCCTCAGGGCACTATAGTGGTCCTTTAAGTTAAATTATTAAATAAAAAAGCTGAATTGTTTTAAAAAGTAAAACCTGGTTGCTGAAGGCAATAAGCAAGCAGGGAAGGCAGGCACTGCAGTGCACAGCTCCCAGAAAGCACTAAAATAAAATAAAAAATGTCTCAGGAATAGTCTCAAATTTAACAAGTAAGAAATGGCAGGCACACTAAGACTCACAGGAAATCTCTAAGACAAGTAATGAGGCTAGCACAGCACAGAGTTTCACCAACAAAAAAAGATTCTCTGCCTGGTTATTTTTTATTAAATCCCCACTAAAGCACTCACCGTTGGCAGCAATGACTACAGTACACATCAGCCCCAATATATAGTAAAAACCAAAGAAAAGAAAAAGTTACCTGCGCTCTCTCCTTAATCCCTATGTATATTTATACAAATGGAGGTCATTTAGTTGCTCCAATGGCCATTGGAGGGAATGCCCGCCTGCCAACGTCAAGGCAGATCCCCCTAAAGTGGGTCCTACACTGACCCTTCAGCCTGCTTCCTTGAGCTTCTGGCAAAGATATCTCTAATGAGACAGAGAGGGGTATTTTTATATACTTATTAACTCTTAATAGGGAACACATGGGAGGAGAGAGCGCAGGTAACTTTTTCTTTTCTTTGGTTTTTACTATATATTGGGGCTGATGTGTACTGTAGTCATTGCTGCCGGCCCAGTAGTGATGGGAGTGAGCGCAGGACATATCTTTTTGTATTTGTATTTACTTTGTATCACACAGCCTTCTTACAATGCTGCCGCCCATCCCATGTGTTCCCTATTAAGGGTTGATAAGTATATAGGAGTGTATATAAAAAATACCCCTCCCTGTCTAATTACAGATATCCTTGCGAGAAGCTCAAGGAAGCAGGCTGAAGGGTCAGTGTAGGGGGGTCTGCCTTGATGTTGTCAGACTGGCATTCCCTCCAGTGGCCATTGGAGCAACTAAATGACCTCCATTTGTATAAATATAATATATATATAATATAAGGAGAGAGTGCAGGCAACTTTTTCTTTTCTTATGTCACAGGAGTTCACTGATTAGACAAATGAAAATCAGCTTACTCCTAAACCCATCTAAGATACAGCACATAACATTGGATAAGCCCCTACAGCATCATGTCACAGAAGTGAGCTGATTGGATAAATGAAAATCAGCTCACTCACATACCCCTCCTCTTTGTCTCATACAAGGCATCTGAATGAACGAATAAACGAATTGAGGCAAATTAGTTAATTCGTTTCTACCATCCCCAATGTTAAAGCAATGCATGGAAAAAGCATGACCAGTTGATACCGATTCACAAAATATTTGTTCGTTTGGTGTGTGAACATCATTCGGCTCACTCCCATTTTATTGCATCTGTGCATTCATATTGCCCATCCAGCAGTTTGCAATACGCATTACACACTTACGTATTACAGTGAACAGAACTAATGAATGAATTGAATATATGCCATTTGTTCTTCGGTTACTAGTTCGGCTTTTTGAATCACACAGACCGTGTAATACAAAAAGCCGAATGAACAAACGAACGAACGAACAAACGAAAGGCTAATAGAAAAATTTTGTTGGATGCCCATTCGTTTGTCTAGCTATTTGTTATTTGGTATTCGTACAAATTGACGAAAATGCAGATTTTTCTATGAAAATCCATTCGTACGAATACCCACATCTAACTGAGAGAAGACTATTCTTTATCCTTATCTTGTAGCACAGCCCAACTCTGTTTTTTGCATTTCTTTATACCTCCAAGGGCTTTGAGGGACCCCTTGTATAGGGTTGCTGCTCCCCCCACCCCCTTCTTTATTTTATATGAATTTACCAGCGCTGATTCTTGTTTTTATATATTATTTTTTGTGATATTTTATCCTGTAGTAACAATGCAATGTTTTGTGGACCCAGGACATACTTGAAGAAGAAAAAAAAATCTCAATGTATCCATCCTGGTAAAATAGTTTATAAGTAAATTCTATAAGTTTTAAAGGGACACTATAGGCACTTAGACCACTTCAGCTTATTGAAGTGGTCTGGGTGCAGTGTCCACATCCCACTTAATCCTGCAATGTAAATTGCAGTTTTAGAGAAACTGCAATAATTACATTGCAGAACTAAGTCTGCCTCTAATGGCGGTCAATCATTATCACGAGTCTTCTATCCCATGGATATGAGTTCTTTAGGGGTAGGATGGAAAAGGAATTTTGCTTTCTATGCCTGTGAGAACACTCTTTCTTCCTCCTTTTATACATTTTATTTTCATCTTAGAAAACAAATAGGTCATCTTATGAATTGTAATCTCTTCAATGCCCAAATTATGTATAAATTTCAGAACCTTTGTAGGAAAATAAAAAATTTAAAGTAAAATTTTCATTTCACAAGCATTTTTTTTTTTATAAAGGACGAACAAATAAATTGTGGGAATTTACATAATTTCAGTTTGTAAATCTATACACAAAACTAGCCATGTATCCCTTGTTTAAAGTAAACAATGACATTTCGGATTTATTTTTAGCATTAGACACCTTTATACTAAAGGTTACACAGCTTACACTTTCATCTATCAGGTAATGGAGTGTTGCAGTCAGCACAAGATAAGTTCTTAGGTTTTGTCAATACTTTAACATGTTCTGATTTTTCAAGCGATTTAGTTGGATTTGACATCCTGAAAATAAATAACTAAAACTAAAGCGATAAAATAGGAAAGAAGAAAACATTTAAAATGAACAGGACAAATTCCTACCTTACAATAACACCTCTAGTGTGCTTAGGGCACTGGGGTCGCACTCAGCAGCTGATGAAGTTAGTCCCTGCATATCCTGTCCCCAAGAGGTACAAGCAGCTATCGGGAAGGTTTGAGGATTGTCGGGTTGTATAGTATGGAAGGAGGAACTAGGGAAGGTGCTTTCTATATGTATTTTTTATTTTTAATTACCACCATTATCGGAAAGGAAATCTAAAGTTAAATATTAAAGGGACACTCCAGGCACCCAGACAACTTCTGCCCATTGGAGTGGTCTGGGTGCCAACTCCCACCACTCTTAACCCCGTTAGTGTAATTATTGCAGTTTTTTTTTTATAAACTGCAATAATTACCTTGCAGGGTTACCTCCACCTCTAGTGGCTGTGTGCTAGACAGCCACTAGAGAGCAATTCCTGGTTTCTAGCACAGGAAACCTGTGCTGGAGCGTCGCTGGACATCCTCACGATATGTGAGAACCTCCAGCGTCGCTCATTTCCCCATAGGAAAGCATTTTTAATGCTTTCCTATGGGGAGCTCTAATGCTCATGCACATTAGGTCTCCCCGGCCGGTGGGGGGGGGGGATCAATCTCGCCCATCAGCCGACGCAATCACAGGGAGGAGCGGCACGGAGGAAGAAGCAGCGACTTGGGACATAGTCGCTACCTCTGGTAAGTTACTGGGGATTGGGAGCAGGGCCAGACTGGCCCACTGGGATAACAGGAAATTTCCCGGTGGGCCGTCAGCACCTGGGGCCGGGCAGGCAGCTGGATGTTCTGTCTCTGCTCCCCCGCCCTCACGCTGCTTACTGAGACCGGGGCCGGAATATGACGTCATATTCCGGACCCGGTCTCATTAAGCTGCACGCTGGGGCGGGGGAGCAGAGACAAAAGAGCCAGCTCCCCCATGTGTCCGCCAGCACACAGGTAGCAATTATGTGCGTCAGTGTCTGTGTCTCACGGTCTGTCTGTGTCATTGTGTGTTTCTGTGTCACGGTCTTTGTGTCGTGGGGTGTGTGTCATGTAATGTGTGGCTGTGTCACGGTCTGTGTGTTTTTACTCACCTTTCCCCCCACGACGTGCTGGTCTCCCCTCGACTGGACCTGCCTCTATGGCTGAGATCATCAAGTTAGTCCCTGCATATCCTGTCCCCAAGAGGTACAAGCAGATATCGGGAAGGTTTGAGGATTGTCGGGTTGTATAGTATGGAAGGAGGAACTAGGGAAGGTGCTTTCTATTTTTTTTTTTATTACTACCATTATCGGAAAGGAAATCTAAAGTTAAATATTAAAGGGACACTCCAGGCACCCAGACAACTTCTGCCCATTGGAGTGGTCTGGGTGCCAACTCCCACTACTCTTAACCCTGTAAGTGTAATTATTGCAGTTTTTTTTTATTATAAACTGCAATAATTACCTTGCATGGTTACCTCCACCTCTAGTGGCTGTGTGCTAGACAGCCACTAGAGGGCAAATCCTGGTTTCTAGCACAGGAAACCTGTGCTAGAGCGTCGCTGGACATCCTCACGCTATGTGAGAACCTCCAGCGTCGCTCATTTCCCCATAGGAAAGCATTTTCTTACATTCTATAGGAGGTGGGGTGTAAAAAACAATAGGACAGGAATTTGCAATCAAATAAGGTGGGCTGCCTTTTAGGAGAGAGCAAGAGAGGTATATGTGAGGTTAGTCTGGGAGTCAAGCTTGATGATCTCAGCCAATCCACACTGACACAGGAAGCACCTCTAGTGACCGTCTGAGTGTCTGTCACTAGGAAGCAATGTAAACACTGCCTTTTCTCTAAAGAGTCAGTGTTTACATTGAAGAGCCTGTAGGGACAGACTATAGACACCAGAACCACTATGTGGCAAAACCGACCTCGCCACGTGTCCTTGGAGGGGGCTGCTTGCCCGCCTCTTGCCTTTGGACTATGGCCCTGCAGGTTAAACTGTTTATTTTCCCTGCAGAAAGGCTTATTCGTGTGATCTGAGTGCCATTCATCTAATAATGTGCAGTCAGATCCAAGCTATCTGGGGATATGTAGAAATGTGTGTTTTATGTACTAAATGTGTCAGTATGTAATTTTATGTCTTTTACTGTCTTTTTGTCTGCCATGTGGGTAATGGAGTTTGGCTCTGTCTTTGGAGATAATTAGATTCCTTCTCCAATTATCTCCAGGGCAGAAGGGAGGAAGCCAGGATGCATTGTGGGGATGTTTTACTTTTACTGTTTGAGCCAGGGGGAACAAAAGATACTTTTACTAACTTTTGAACCCCTGGTCTGATTCATGCCATTTTTTAATATGTTGTTCCCCTGAATGGATTGAATATGTATTTTTATGCGAATGTGATGTATATTTTGGGAGTTATGAATGTTGTGTAAAAACTGTATTTTCCCTACCTATGATAATTGTATTTTCCTGTGTGTACAGATAATTAGTTTACAGGTAGAGGGGAGGGCTATGTGTGGGATGTAACTATTGTGTGATTGGTTAATGTACGTTACTGTGTGTGTCCCTCCCCTTCATGGGAGCACCTAATAAAAAGGGCTGCAAGCTAGCAGCCAGAGAGTTCTATTTTTACCCTCAACTTGAGTCCTGTCTCTTATTGGGGGAATCTGCTACAAGGGATTGCTATGCTAGGCATATTCCCTTGCTATAATCACTGAGCTCTTGTAAGAGCTTGTTCCTGCTTCGTTCTGAAGGGAGATAGCTGCAGCCTGCGGTGCTTATGGTGTCTGGTGGAGTGCTTGGAGTCCTCTGGAAGCGCTAGGAGCATCTTTCAACGGAGGTACCCAGTCGGGGTGCCAGGTGATCCGTTACATTGGTGGCAAGCGGCGGGATGGCATCCTAGTGCGAGGAGAAGCAGCTCGGAGACACCGGTAACGTGTGGAGTTGTGCAGCGTCCTTATCTTCAGCAACATAATGGAACCAGCAGTGGCTACAGCAAGCATGGCGTATAGCTACTCCGTACTAGAGTTTGGCACGATGGTAGGGTTGCACCTGAAGTTTTACGGACCCAATCCAGAGGAGAAATACGTGCGGTTCGTGTGGGACATGGTGACCCGGAACCTACAACACAGGGCGTTGAGGGAAGGCCAGTGGGCACGTTGGGAGAAACTCCAGCCACAGGTAGAGTGGGACGAGGAAGAAACCGAGGTGGCCGGTGGAGATGGGACCGAGGTCTCTCTACCGGCCCTACAGGGATGCTGGGCACCCGGCCCAGATCCCCAGCGGCAGTATGTTTTACAGGGAGGGGAGACAGTCGGTCTCACTCCCCAGCGGCAGAATGTGTTATTGGAGGAAGAGACAACCGGTCTCCCTCCCCAACAGCAACCAGAGGTACCCGAGGTAGAGGACCTCATAGACTGGTCCTGGGAGGACCCCCTGCAGGCAGGTGGAGATGGGACCGAGATCTCTCCACCGGCCCTACAGGGATGCTGGGCAACCGGCCCAGATCCCCAACTAGAGCTGGAGTTACAGAAAGTGGAGAGCATCGACCTCCCCCCCCAGCAGCAGCCGGAGTACCAGGGGGAGGTAAGTGATATTTCTCCTCCCCAGCCAACTCCTTTGTTCCCTGACCCCCAGCAGAAGAGCTGGCAACTGGGCAGAGCGCCGCTGGCCTCTGTCCTCCCTTGTTTCCTTCCCCTGAGCCTGACTTTCTACAGGCTGCCCCAGCGGAAGGTGCCGTCCTTCCTCCCCAGCGGCAGTGCGTACCCCAGGGAGCTGATGGTGTCGTCCGTCCTCCCCAGCAGCAGTGTGTAACCCAGGGAGCCGAAGGTGTCGTCCTTCCTCCCCAGCGGCAGTGTGTACCCCAGGGAGCTGAAGGTGTCGTCCTTCCTCCCCAGCGGCAGTGTGTCCTGCAGGGAGCAGAGACCGTCAGTCTCACACCCCAGCAGCAGGACAAAATAATGAAAGGGGAGACAGCTGGTCCGCCTCTCCACCAGCAGAGAGAGTGTCAGGGAGAGGAGCCTGTTAACCCCTCTCCCCAGCGGCAGTTGACAGTCCAGAGAGAGGAGCTTGTTACACCCTCTCTCCAGCGGCAGCCTAACCCACCAAGGGGAGATGTTGAGCCCCGCAACTGTGCAGATGGGACCGTAGTCTCTGCGCTTACAGCCCAAGGGGTAGAGAGAGTCCTGTTCCCCAGCCCCAGAGCTGTGTACCCAGAGGGGAGACGGTCGGTCCTGTTCCCCAGCCCCAGAGCTGTGTACCCAGAGGGGAGACGGTCGGTCTCCCCCTCCCACAACCAGGCTCCAATCAGGCTACTTCGGTGGTAGCGCTGGCACCAGGGCAGAGTACCGCTGGTCTCTGCCCACTCAGCAACCCACCAAGGCAGTCTACCAGCTCCCCACACAGCCGTGGTGAGGCACCTGGACATGGACAAGTTGCTACTTTATCCAGGTGGAGTAAACATTTATTGTGGGTGGGCTGTACTGCTGTTTGTGCTTCGTGGGTGGGTTGCTGGACTAACCAGGGCACTGACCGGCAGGAGGTCAGATACCCTGTTAGTCTGGGGGGCAAAGGGGAGAAGTGTGGCAAAACCGACCTCGCCACGTGTCCTTGGAGGGGGCTGCTTGCCCGCCTCTTGCCTTTGGACTATGGCCCTGCAGGTTAAACTGTTTATTTTCCCTGCAGAAAGGCTTATTCGTGTGATCTGAGTGCCATTCATCTAATAATGTGCAGTCAGATCCAAGCTATCTGGGGATATGTAGAAATGTGTGTTTTATGTACTAAATGTGTCAGTATGTAATTTTATGTCTTTTACTGTCTTTTTGTCTGCCATGTGGGTAATGGAGTTTGGCTCTGTCTTTGGAGATAATTAGATTCCTTCTCCAATTATCTCCAGGGCAGAAGGGAGGAAGCCAGGATGCATTGTGGGGATGTTTTACTTTTACTGTTTGAGCCAGGGGGAACAAAAGATACTTTTACTAACTTTTGAACCCCTGGTCTGATTCATGCCATTTTTAAATATGTTGTTCCCCTGAATGGATTGATTGTGAATATGTATTTTTATGCGAATGTGATGTATATTTTGGGAGTTATGAATGTTGTGTAAAAACTGTATTTTCCCTACCTATGATAATTGTATTTTCCTGTGTGTACAGATAATTAGTTTACAGGTAGAGGGGAGGGCTATGTGTGGGATGTAACTATTGTGTGATTGGTTAATGTACGTTACTGTGTGTGTCCCTCCCCTTCATGGGAGCACCTAATAAAAAGGGCTGCAAGCTAGCAGCCAGAGAGTTCTATTTTTACCCTCAACTTGAGTCCTGTCTCTTATTGGGGGAATCTGCTACAAGGGATTGCTATGCTAGGCATATTCCCTTGCTATAATCACTGAGCTCTTGTAAGAGCTTGTTCCTGCTTCGTTCTGAAGGGAGATAGCTGCAGCCTGCGGTGCTTATGGTGTCTGGTGGAGTGCTTGGAGTCCTCTGGAAGCGCTAGGAGCATCTTTCAACGGAGGTACCCAGTCGGGGTGCCAGGTGATCCGTTACACACTACATTAAGCTGTGTGTGCACGCCTGCTAGTGAGTGGGCTTGCGTGTGTGTGTGTGAGTGCCTGTGTTTTTAGGTCAATGACCTTATGTATATCAGTGAGATTGTTTGTCTATGAGGCTGTGTATCAATCAGCTTGTGTCAGTGAGATTGTCTGTGTGTGCGCGCATGTGAGTATGCTTACTGTATAATTAAACATTTTAATCTGAAAGGACCAATATTTTATATTGGAAAAAGAGATTTTATATATATATATATATATATATATGTTTTAAGGCCATTTGGCCTGTATTTGTGGGAGGGGCTTAAATTAATTCACTCCCCTATATAAGGGACACCCCTTACCTGACTCATATCGCTTGAGGTCAGCATCAGAATGATTTCCACTTCCGGGTCATCCAGACGCCATTTTACCTGATTACTCCATGAGGTTTTCTAAGCTGAGCTGTGTCAGGAATTCAGCCACAGGCTTTTCCGGCCTACCACCTTCTTTCTTCAATCTATTGCTGTGGATGGTGTCCAAGTGACTCACAAACCGTAAGTCGACCTACCCGTTACGCCAGGCATCAGTCCCACGGCACCATGCACGGGTCAGGTCCTCACTTTACGGCTGCATTTTGTCTAAATCTGTCCTAAAACCATTGCATGTTCATGCATATCATTCGTTTAAACTCACTTGTTTATATCTGTCACTGGCTCATTTCGAGCATTAGCATACTCCCAAACGGGAACACATTCTGTTTCAATTGCCTAAACATACTAGGCAATTCTGTGCGTGCATTTCGAATCTCACTGCTCGTTTCGTTTTGTTTCCCTGACATACCAGGCTCACGGTTCGTGCAATTTTCTACCAAACGGGAACTAGTTCATGCATTTACTATTGTACTACACACACGTTTCGTGTGTTTACAACCCGTGAACAGAACTTTGGTTTGTTACAATGATTGTTATTAAGCTATTATGTTCACTTATTGTATATTGTCAAACGGGCACTGTTTGTTTCACAACTATAATGCTGGGGCATAGCTCACAAACAATGTTTCACATAAACCACACTCACCCCTACAGGTCACTCTCAAAATCTCACGTTAACCTTGCATTTGGATTAACCCCTTAAGGACCAAACTCTGGAATAAATGATATGTCACACATGTCATGTATCCTTCAGGGGTTAAAGGGTATTTTACCATACAATCAGCATTTCTGACCCCTACTGGTCAACAGCAAAACTGTCTTCACATGTCATATACAATTACCAGCCAATATAAATTACACATAAGATTGTTTTAAACATAACCATAAACCATGAATTAAACTCCAACACGGGCTCAACTTCAGGTTTAATTCACAATAATTTACATTTCACATTAAGACTAACAGTGGTTCTATCAACACTGCCACCTACAGGTCTGTCAAGTACATTGACAATTTTCATGGGGTTTTACAAACACCAAAACACTGACCCCTATAGGTCAACAGACAAACATTTCACATACCAATCAGTATCAACTACACTGCCACCTATAGGGCACTCGGCAGATCTCCAGTGCACTTGCA